GTGAAGTGATGACGAGAAGTCATAGGTATAAAGTGTAGGAATCATCTCTGTTCGCCAAGTTCATCTTGATGCCTGATGGCTGTCTGCCAGCCGGGCTGTTTGTGCTCTGCAGCCATCAGTCTATTTTCCAGCCCAGATGGCTGTGATGGCTGTGGGAGGGGGAGGCATGAGCTTATACCTGACGACGATTGGAATCAAATCTGCCTTCATTTGCTTTCACCTTCCTCTTCACCGATGCACACAGATATTTTACTTTGGTATCATCTCATTTTAAGTTTAATGTTCACCCTGCAACAAGTTTTCTGAAAGTGGGAAAATTATGTTTGAGAGTCTCACCAAAATTCTCCCACCATGCTTTGCAGGACAGCCTTCCGCAGCACCTGAATTTTTCCAAAGTTGTTACTTACACATGACAGTTTTTGACTTGAAATCAATGCTACTTGTAATTGGATGTACTCACAGTATACACAAAAAAGCAGAGAAGAACATACTGGCAAACAAAGAAGAGTATGACACTGCTTTCTTAGGTTCACAATGACTGTAGCTCACTGGTCCAATGATATAAACGACACCCATGACCTTTAACCTGCGGCGCACATCAACTCCACGTAACCCTGAAATTATAAAGTTTGGGTTACACAAGCATTGATATAAAGGCAACGAACTGTCATCATAGAGTCAAACTAAAATGCCACTGTTCGACTCCCGCCATCTTTAATACATTGTTAACATTACAATGTGACTGCCTCTGCATCTTTTTACATCATGGTGTGCCTTCTGCAGATACTTTTTGTTATTCCACAAAGAAAAAAAAAAGCTACAACCGTTAATGCAAAACTCGAGACTTCAAAACAGAAATCAACAAATCTAAAGGTAACATCCATAGACTGTAAATATTAATGGATGAAGCCTGAGTTACGTCAGCCATCTGTTACTGAGGCGGTTCTGGAGGCTCATCGGCAGAAGCCACCATGCTGGAAATCCTGTCTCAGACTAACTTTCAGTCAACCTAACGACAGGATGAGAGCTGGAGCTGAGGCCGGGGTTCCTGGAGCCAGCCTCGAGCGGACACTTGACGTACTGCAGGATTTTGCACTTCAGCATTGGTTCATTTCCCAAGCCCGGAGTTTGCCACTTGGTAACATCGTGGGAGTGGCATAAGTCCTCCCCTGATATATAGACTATCGTAGAGACCAAATGCTGAGTTTAAAAGAGTGATTAAATTGATCAAGTTGCCAGAAGAACCACTACCACTGAAAGCTAATGTTGCTGCTGCCTGTTGCGACATCAAGCACATGCAGCAACACTGTTTGCTAAGCAGTCAAATCAACATTTCTGGCTTGTTTCTGACGATCCTGTTGATCACTTATTTGAGATTTAAAAACCTCTTACATTGCTGATGTCAAAGTTCTGCAAAAATGTCATAACGGCAAAAATAAATAGATGTAAAAACTGCACAAATTAAAACTAGCTTTACAAATCCTCTCCTCCTTTTTCCAGACTCAAAAAAGTCCATGTGATTACAGGTGACTGCTGGTGTCATGGCAGTCCGGTTCATTTGGTGTACTCGTCAGTCTCTGCAGCCGGATGAAGGGCTGACCAATTAATCACTGGCTCTGGATGAGCAAATGGCACTCTGAGGTTATTCTAGATCTCATTCTCTCACTGTGGATACGACTATTTGTTCCGTTCTACCTGAACATAGTTAACATTGAAAGAAACATTTCAACTGAGCTGTAATCTAAAGCTGCTGCCTGAGTTATTCTTCTGAGCCTGCAGTGTTCATTTGCATAGTGTTTGCACAAGTGAGCGTTCACTGAACCACCTGCTAAGTCTTTGTGATTACCACTGTGTTCTGCTGAGATAGAAAAACGTCTTTATGCAACTAAATGGTGCATGAAGGGGATTCCACCCACTGACCATTTTGCTGTTTGAATTCTGTCTCTTCCGCATCAACAAACAAAGAAGTTTCTTCTCTTCAAATGCACACTCTGAAACCAACAGTTGTTTAAAGTGTTTATCAGTTAAAATAGAATTAATCACAATGATCTGTTTCCTATACGAGAACAATGGAAGAAAGGAGAAAGAGATGACATGGAACTCCAGCACTTCTCTATCCTCTCTGTTTGACTACTCCCTGATTTAGTTTCCTTTTTGTTTCATTAAAAAGGACAAATGCATCAACAAACACCTTTGGATTTCCTACACTGAGAAGCCAGGTTTATGTGTTCGAAAAATTAAATCATGAGGCTGCAGATGGCTGATGACTAATGAAAGGTGATGATGCATGCAACTCTTCTGTGCATTAGATGGAGATAAACAAACGTACAAAATGAATTAGACACATTTAGTAAACAAAATATTTTGGCTTTTTCTATTTGCCAAATTGAGTTCAGCTTCTTTCTGCAGTGCCACCATTGGCTAAAGCGTGAAGTGTCTCCAGCTGGAGACAAGCAGAATATGGAAGTGGCAGATTAGGAAACAGTTAAGGGCCGTTAGTGTAAAGCCACAACCTCCTCCTCCCTTTTCTCTATTTATGCATCTTTTCCTCCTCACCCTCCCTCCTTCCTTTCCTCTCCTCCTTTTCCAATCTCTCCCTTCCTCCAACTTTTCAACACAAACACATCAGACACAAACAGGCAGTCTTGTTATGCAGCGTGCTGTGTGTCACAACTACATTTCAAGTCCCAGGATGTCTCTTTCACTCTGTTTTTTAAATAAGAGTTAAGAATTATCTTGTATGTTTTGGAGTGTCTCTCTACTGTTTTGCCGGATTTGAAGGCTAGCTGTGTGGACTGAAAGTGATGATTTTATATTGTAGACACACACTTACAGAACAACCGACTAAATTGAGAAAGATCAATATTAAATGACACGCATTACGGTGCTCTTAAGAGGAATCCCACAAAATCAATCAGTGATCACTTGCAATAGTCACAAACAAAGACAGAAGGGCATGAAACAAAAGCTGCAGCCTCCCATAACTGCACAGCCCACATGGTGCAAGAGGATTGAGTAAAAATTGAACGTCTGCAAGTCCCTGTTACAGTCGTACAGAGGCCTTTTGTCATCACAGACGGCTTTGTCTTAGAAATCCATCCATCTCTTGCTCATGCTTGAGTGAGAATGACACTGAAATATTGATGATAATTATTATGATGGATGAAGATTTAAGTGCTAAGCCCAGTGCTTTGAGAGATGATAGATGCTGCTTAGAAAACCAAAACAACAGTCAGACTTCATCCTGATCAGAAGGAAAACACCACAGAGCGATGGCATTAAAGACATTTTGCATTTCAATGAACTAATTATAGATTACATCCATTATCAAAAGTCCCTATTAAGATGTTTAACAAACACTGACGGTCTCTTTAAGTGAACTATAGTCATAAAAAATAGGAGATAATGTTCTACCATCGACCAATTGAGCAATTGATAAATTTGTATTGATCTGCATTAAGCGCCTCATAACAAGTGTTGAGTAATTATTAGGATGACTCCTCAGCCTCTTCTGTTCTGCTAAATCTTAGGGCTTTGGCATCACGTGATGTCTTTCATTGTTTCCTCCATGATGTTGCATCGCCAAATGTCATGTATTTTCCACAACAAGATACATGTAATTTGGGAGAAAGCTCTGCTGGGAGTGCAGAGTGGAAATAATTGCGCAGCTGCGCAGGACAGGAAAAGGACTCTAAATAGTGAGAACATGTGACCCCCAACTGCAGTAAATAGATAAATAGAGGATATTCGTGATGGACTTTCAGATGCAATGTGGCTGAAAAATAGCACTGAAATTAAACTGAATAGCTTCTTTTCATAGTTTACAATCAGCATGAGTGTTCTAAAATTAGTTTCAGCAATGAAACATTTTACTTATAAGAGCAAAAATACAAAGTGAAAACATCTGTTGGCAAGAAAAACCCGTATAAACCATAGACTATAAATATTAAGGTATAAACCTTTGTGAAAAAGTAAAGATAACAAAGCATCAGAAACGTAGTGTGCTTGTACATTACCACAGTACGCAGAATGGCCCTTTTCACACTGACTGTCTTTAAATATTTGGTTATAACATTTATTAATATGTAGCAAATATGGTAGTGTTGAAGCTTTTTAATACTAATGTTCAATGTTTAATATTTCACCATTTCAATCAATGACTTTTATTATTTCAATGAGCTCGTGTTGACAATACTGAAGTGGAGTAATAAGTTAGGTTTTACTGCTGTCAAAAGGCCATGTTGTTTTAGCTGCAATACTGGTTTAAATAAATTAAAAGATTACCTTAGTCATTTGTTTTGAAGCATGAGTAACATAAACCTGTGTCTTGTTAAAATGACTCCTGATTGCATTTTAATTGTTCATAAGGGTTATTATGAATCATTAAAACAACTGACGCTTTGTTAGCTGTAACACTTGTTAAAAAATGTTTTTTTTTTTTTACAGATTCAATCTCTGTGATGGTGTTGACAGATCTTTGTATGCTGACCCACACATTCCTAAATAGTATGCACAAGATGTCAAAACGGAAGTTAACATTTCATTTGTGTGTTTTATTTGGGCATGCGGGAAGGGGGGGGGTTGGATTACAAGGATTTTATTGAGCAATCATGTATTGTATGATGACAGAAATGGTCACTCTTGAACATTTTTTTTGTTATTTCGTGAAGCAGCACTGTTTTATAGATACATATTTTTTGTATTTTGACACATTTATTGGGAAAGAAAGTCTATAAATGATCATTTTGAGGTAAATGAAGAAGAAAAGCATTCAAAAGAAGAACTGCTCTCATTTTAGGCATATTTAAATGATGACACTTAATAAAGAGGAAGCGGCAGCTCGTCAAAACAAACCTCATGGGCTGAGGCTGGTTTTCATGTCTTGCATGTAGCAGCTGTAAATAAAGGTGTGGGTGATGCTCGCAGATGTACTTCGCTCTTCCAGGCTCGAACACCTCAGACCACGTGACTAGCAGGCGCACAAAAAGGAGCCTTGAAGCTGCGCGCTCACACAAACAGTCACTCCCCACCGGCTGCCTGCAAGTGTCTGTTTTCTATTTGACGGTATCTGTGGGGAGTTTCTCCGGGTTATTTAACATCACAACAACAATAACAACGACAACAATTGTTTTCCCATTGCTGGCTCATTTCTTTGGAGTTGCTGTAGTCTAACTTGTTATTGAAAAGAGGGACCGGTTTACTCCCAGTTCACTTTTTCTTTTGCGTGATGGATCGGAGCAGCAGGTTTATGGAAATCAAGGTACGTTATTTAATTTTTTTCTTCTTCTCAATGTTAGTTTTACATTTATTTGTAATGTTTATATATTCAGGTGTAGTAAATGTATCCTTAAGCGTTGCCAATGTAGGCTAACATAATTTGGATCCTAACTGATTTATTACTAAAGCACATTATGTCACGTTTATGGGTTTGCCAAACAATGTTTTCCCTCCTCAGAAATGTCTGATTCCAAACACTCAATTTAAGCTTTCAATTACTGATGTCATTATAACTGGCATCAGAATGTAAATGCTTCTTTGGACAGATTTGTGCATCCTTTCTATTGTTCCTCCCTTGATGCCTAATTAATCCAGTGATTATTAGGAGTAAAAACAGATTAATGCTTAATGACCTTTTTAATTAATAAGAAAGCCGGGCTGTCCTACATACTTAATGCAATGATTTCCCCTGAGGCTGCACATGTTTGTCATCAACTGTTCAGTTTCCCACTATTGTCTGTAATACATCTGTTCAGGAGTCAGCTGGCTGATGCACAGATTCCCTCAATATCTCCCGGCAACAAATTCATTTTTACACCATATGAATCACAAGTACACATTTGTGTTATTTTATAATATTCTGAATTTAAAAGCTGAATTTAAGATGATGCATTTTTTTGGAGGGGGATTATTTTATACAAATTTAGCGTTTTTTTAAAGAATAAAAATCTTTTCTCTTCATAGATGTCTATTTGCATGGGTTTAAAGCTGTCACAACCCACACCTCTCCACTGAGCGTCTCTGCCTCCATTTACCAGCCATGAAGTCAGCTTTGCACAGGATAGCAGGCACCACAATGAGCACGCTCACGACAGGTGTCCAGTATCTCGGCTCTAATGACGCTAGCTATGACGACCCCTCCTCCATGGACCCGACTCTGATCAAGAACAGATTCCGTTTTGAGAAACCTCCCTCGCTCACTAACTCCTTCCTCCAAGGGTTTGTCCCTGGAAGTAAAGATGTCATGATTGGCGGCCTCTCTCCCGTTTTCCCCACCAACATCACTGACTTCCTGCTGACTAATGGCAGCTCTGTTGAGAGCGGGGGGGCTGCACAGTGCGGGGAGGACATGGTGGACAACATGGAGTGTTTTATGATTCTGACACCTGGTCAGCAGCTTGCGGTCGCCATCTTGGCGCTCACATTGGGTACATTTACAGTCCTAGAGAACCTAATGGTGCTGTGTGTCATCCTACACTCACAGACGCTTCGTTCTCGACCTTCCTATCACTTCATTGGCAGCCTGGCGGTGGCTGACCTCATAGGCAGCATCATTTTCGTCTACAGCTTTCTGGACTTTCATGTCCTCCACAGGAAGGACACTCCCAACGTTTTCCTCTTCAAGCTGGCTGGGGTCATCGCCTCCTTCACCGCCTCTGTAGGCAGTCTGTTTCTCACCGCCATTGACCGCTACATCTCCATCCACAGGCCCATGTCGTACAAACGCATTGTCACAAAGACTAAAGCAGTCATCGCCTTTAGTTTGATGTGGACCATCTCCATCGTCATCTCGTTGCTGCCACTGCTTGGTTGGAACTGCAAGCGTCTCAACTCTGTCTGCTCCGACATCTTCCCTCTTATCGACCAGAAGTACCTGATGTTCTGGATCGGTATGACCAGTATCTTAGTGCTCTTCATTATCTACGCCTACATCTTCATCCTCTGGAAGTCCCACAACCACGCGGTACGCATGCTGAGCCGCACTTCCCAGAGGAGCGTAATCGTCTACACCGCAGAGGGGACTAAAGTGCAGACAGTGAGGCCTGAGCAGGCCCGTATGGACCTGCGTCTGGCTAAAACCTTGGTCCTGATCCTGGTGGCCCTCATCATATGCTGGGGCCCGCTTCTGACCATCATGTTTTACGACATCTTTGGGAAAGTGAACGACTTCATCAAGACCGTGTTTGCCTTTTGCAGCATGTTGTGCCTGCTCAACTCCACCGTGAACCCTGTGATCTACGCCATGAGGAGCAAAGACCTGCGCAGGGCCTTCCTCAACATCTGCCACATGTGCCGGAGAGCGTCTCAGACTCTGGACAACAGTGCTGAGAGCGACTGGAACAGCAGGAGTGTGAGAAGCACAGCAGGTGGGGCAGGGAAAGATAGAGCCTGCTCTGGAAAGGCTCGAGTAAAAGTAGCCCAAGTTACCGTTTCTGGAGGGACTGAGACGTCTTCTGCAGAGCCGGTCTAAAAGAGGAGCGTCCCTGCTCTGGTACAACTGTGAAGAAAAAATATTGTAGAATAGCTCCAACCCTACTTCTCTACTATGTTACTGTGAAATGTGCCAAATAATGATTTTAAAAACAGGACTGAAATACAAGTTTGTGTTGCTAAAAGCTGAAATCTCTAAAAATAGATTGATATGAAAATTTCCAAACAAACACTCCACTGTGCTGCGTTCATTTTGAATGAATTGGCATAAAGTTACAGATTTCAGCTTTGAATTTAAATAAACGTGTTTAATTTTGTTATTTCTTTTTCTGACTTTATATCATAGCAATATTGTGGCAGTAACGCAAGGTGAAACGTTGTCTATCATGCAAAATGTTGTTTGAATAAAAGCACAATGCTTGTAAATATAGAATTTGCTTACCCTTATTGATTTGAATGAAATCTGAATGATTTTATATGACCATGATTTTGTGAAACTTGCCACTTAGGCTATTTGTTATTCTATTTTATTTATTGCATAATTAAGTACTTTAAAAAGATTGTTGAAGGCTTACTTTAAAACATGAACTGTGTTTTGATCTCACCAAAACTTTATTCTGTAGTGATTTGGGAAATATCACATAGCTGCATATTACACATGTGCTTATGAAATAGTTGCAGCATTTTGTGAGAAGCTATGCTTCTGTGTTTCTGTAAAGCATCCATTGTGCCAGTTTGTCCCATAACTGTGTATAAGCAAGGACACGAGTCAATAAATGTATGAAGGCTGTCTATTTTTTCCCAATATTTTCGTCAGTAGGCCTATACCTGGTGTCTTTTTTTTCAATAAAACAATGAAATCTAAATCCTGTTTCACATTTTGACATTTTTCTTCTTATGCAAGCAGCTGTGGGTCTAAAACTGATACTTGATAGCCATTAACAAAATATTTGAATGTGGATAAGTAGCAGCATCTAAAAGAGAAATGGTTCAAATAGCTTCACCAAATGGTTGAAGGGCTTATATGATATATGAATTTCAAATAATGAAAAAGAAAAGTTCCAGACACGCTTTCAAATAAGAACAAGAATAAGAATCTAATGTATAACACAAACGATCATCTGGTAGGGCAAAATAAACTATTAGGGTGTGTAGGTTTTTTTTTTGTGTGACACTGCCCTCTTGTGGTAATAAAAAAGACATCCAGCATCAATTGTGTGCTATTTTCCACCATACTGACATGTACATTAACATTTCATCCAATCGAATATTAAATCGGTATGTTGTCGATAATTAGATAACATCGATCTCACTCACTTACGTTCCAATCCGCGACTGAGTTACTACGCAACCCAGAATGCTTTGCACCACGTGTGACGTCAGAAGCCGGAGAAGCCGACAGCCCCACATCGACAACAAGCGGCTAAGTTACGTTAGCTAGCTCCGCAGTCTCGGCAAGCAGACGGTTGGCCCGCAGCCGGCTGATCGTCACTTCAACTTTTTTTTGGGGGGGGAAAGCAACTTTTGTTGGAACAAGTCGAGTTGTCGGACGAAACAAACCTCACTTCCTTCGAAAAGGTGAAGAGAAAAAGCTTTATTCGTAATTACGTTACAGCGCAGCGCTCCGTTCTAGCAGACGGCAGCGAAAAGCTAACGTTAGCTTTGTTTTCTTTTTGATTATCAGCTAACTAGCTAGAGTTAGCTTGTCAGCGAGTATTTAAAGCCTCAGCTGCGCAGTATGCTTAGCAAAAGGAAACTAGTTTTAGCAGTGCATTTCACGTTGTATTCAGCAAGTCGTCTTAACTATCAGATGGTGCCGCTTCATTATTCACATGTTTCGGTGTTTTGCTCCCCCTCCTCCTCCTCCTCCTCCTCCACCTCCTCCTCTCCTTATCCTTTTTAACAAATCCAAGTCATGGCGTGTGGAGCCACCCTGAAGAGGACCATGGATTTTGATCCGCTGATGAGTCCTACGTCCCCGAAAAGACGAAGATGCATCCCCGTGACCCCCTCCTCCACATCCTCATCTCCTAGGAAGTATCTGAGCATGGAGCCCTCGCCATTTGGGGAGTCATCGTCAACACTTAGTGCAGGTAGTGTCACTTCTATTGGCCTGCTTGGTGGTCAGCCAGGGGGCTTCAGGGGCATGAGCAACACGGTTAACCACTAAGTAGCCTTATCAAAAGGTCCAATTTAGTTGTCCACTTCGTGACGTGTTTGCTATTTTTGTCTTGACTTCATGGACCTCTTTCTGTCTCCTTTGTCCCACTAGAACAAATTCTCAACAGCATTAAGCAGGAGTACAAACGCATTCAAAAGAGGAAGCATCTAGATGGAGGCTACCAACAGTCAGAGTGCTGCTATTCTCCAGAGTCCCCATCCCAGTCGTCTACTATGAATGTTTCCAACATGCCAGGTGTGTGGAGTAAAGGAGAGACTGATCCAGAATCACAGTGCCATGTTCTCTAAGACATTTAAAAAAAACAAAAAAACACCACTTACATTTTTTTTCTCCTTTGATTTATTCAGGAACGTCCTCCGGATGCGTTTCTCCTTCTAGAAAAGAACAGCCATTATTCACCCTCAGACAAGTTGGAATGATTTGCGAACGCCTGCTTAAAGAAAGGGAAGAGAAGGTGCGGGAGGAGTACGAGGAGACTATGACCTCAAAACTGGCAGGTTCGTTTGCCCTAAGCAAGTCTACTTTAAAGCACTGTAACCACCTGAATCATTGTAAAAAAAAAAAAAAAAAATAAAGCAATGATTTTGTGGCTGGCTGTTAAAAAAAAGTTACTAAATGTACTTATTGCATAAAATGAACCGTCAACAAATCCTCAAAATGGGCACGCAGATGTTTGGTAGTTTCTTCAAGTTGATTTAGGAAAGACTAGAATTGTTGTACATCAATAACATTGACTGCCAAGTACTAAAGTGCATAAAGGTAACTGTGTGTTTGTGCAGGGGAACTTGACGTGCTAAGCTTGTTTTAATTTCACAATACAATTGCAATAGAAATCGATTCTAAATGTTTTAGTTGTGATCCGTCCCAAAGTTAAAAGACAATTCTCTGAGTCTGATTGTGTGTCCTTTTTATAAATTACAGAGCAGTATGACACCTTTGTGAAGTTCACACATGATCAGTTAATGCGGCGATTCGGGGAGCAACCTGCAAGCTGTGAGTTATTTTATTTCATCTTCAATCATTTCCACATTCCTGTTTCACTGGAAGACTGTCGAAGAAGTCAGGCAGAGTTGGATCTCGGGTTTGATCTCTGCCTTTGAAGTTAAAAGCGACTAGTCTATATTTGATTTCATCTCCCTCTCTCCTCCAGATGTTTCCTGAGTGTGGCACAGAAACCTTTACAAGACGGCCTTCCTTTGCTGCAAGCTATCAGCGATATCTCAAGAAAGGAAGAAGAAAAAAAATAAAAGAAGCTCATCATCGCAAGAGATTCAGTTCAGCCAGTTTAGATAAAAGTTTTCTTACTGTGCCATATTTCTGTCTTTGGGCAAAGGTTTATATGAAGCTGTCGTCAGTTGTTACCACATTGATGTAAGCAACTAGGTGCTTCCTGATGTAAATGAATGGACCCTATCTCTACCAGTGGCCTATGTTCCTCCCGCTGTATGTGTATCTACAGTTATCTCACTTTTGTAATTGTTCCCAGCATTCCAGGCTTTGTCACTCGTTTTCTGTTTGTTACATGTAAATATGATGAAGCTACAGAGTTTTACATGAGGTTTGCTGGTCAATCTGAGAGGAAGTGGAAGAAACACAGCTGAACAGAGGGACTATGTTTGCAGTTTGTTCTCTGTTCATTGCTTTTTAACTCAGCATATAGTGGGCTAATTTGATTTTTTTTTTTTTTGTTCTCCCTACCAGTGTTTTATTTATTTTGACTTTTGTTTTGCTGGTATCACTTTGAAACCAATGTACTTATTGGACAAAACAATAAAAATCTTTTAAGAGTTGAGCATTGTTGTGATGCATGTTAAAAGTTCTGGAATGTGTTTTTGATGCTTCTGAACATTTGAAAATACTGACTCGAGCAGGATTCATCACCAAAACAAGCCAACTTCAACATGTTTGAATATCAGGCTTTTCTCTAATGGTGGTTCTTTGATCCAAACCTGTTAAGTAGGATTCATGCAGTTCGGCTCCCCTTAATGTGAACTGAGTATCCTTCAGAGTAAACTTTTGTTACCATGGATACCTCCAACTATAGATATCACTGTAAACCTTGAATTTGGAATAAGCCAACCCTTTACCATTAATCAATCCTGTAAAAATGTGTGCTGTGTACAAAGCTGTATATTAAAACTTAACATCCATGATTATCAGACACTTCATATTTTATTAGAGGGGAAAATACAGTACAAAAATGTAAATCCAATTTGATTAGAGCCATAATGGAGCGAGATAGGGACCACAGATGTGCACGTTTTCTTTCTAAGGTCAGCAGCCCCCCCAGGTGAGTCGAGCCACATGGTCAGTCTTCTGTTTGGTGGACTTGATGAAGCCCAGAAACTCGAGCTCGGACACGGCTCGGATGAAACGAGCGCTGGAGAACAGGCTAAGGAGCAAAACGTCATAAATGTGGTTCATGATCAAATAAATTCCATCACTAGATGCACATCATCTGCCATTAAACTTCCCTCATAGTAGGAGCTTCTTTGTCCCGATACAGAGAAGTCCTTACCTCACAATATTAAGTCATGGGAAGAAGAACATGTATGTAAATTGGGAAGGATACTGTTTAACTTCGTCCACTTTGCCGAAACTGTCAGAATCAGGGTTGTTGCCCTCAGCAGCAGAAACGACAGTAGAATAGGCCTGAAAACAAACAAACACATTTCTATCCATGTCAGCACACAGTCCACCCTGGGACAAAGATTGATTTTCACATCAATGATGTGAAACATCTATCGATAAGTTGTCCTCTGAAGAACGAAAAACAAACTTCCAGTAAATCAACATGTACCTCTAGCCAGTCGTAGAGGTTAATCAGCCTGCCACACTCCAGGTGGAGTTTGTACACGACGCAGATATCAGGAGCCGCATTAGAGACGGAGCCGTCCTCAGTTATTAGACTGTTGTTCTGAAGACACAGGGAGGAGTGAATATGTGTATTTCTCAGCTTAACATTCTTAAAGCAACAACACTTTAACATCACTATATATTTATAAATATTCTTTGCATTCAGGTGCTCGTCATGTGAGGATATTACTATGAGGCGGGTGTACCTGTAGATAATAGTAAGGACTGTTGAGAGCAGCCTGAATGGAGGTGCGTGGTGTTGCGTTGAGGTGGCGTCTCACAGTGGCAGAAGAACTGTAGTAGCAAACTTCATTCAGTGTCTGAGACTCAGGGGTGGCCAGGTGAGTCCTGGGAGGGAGAGAGAGCTGTCAGCTGAAGAAGAATCTCGAACACATGTATGTGGATTTAATAATATCAACGTGTCTCACTTCACTAAGCCGTCAATGAACTCCAGAGCTTCGTTACGCAGAACCTCAAACGGACTCAGCTTCTTGGCTCTCCGAGTCTCGTTCATTTCCAGCAGCGTCTAGAATACAATAATAATAACAAATGTGTGAGTCAAAGTCTGACAGCACAACAGCAATCAGTGGAGAGGCTGCTCAAAAGAAGTGTGGTGGAGAGGCTAAATATATCATCATGAAAACCTTCTGCAGCTGGAACAGATCAGTTTTCTTTCCAAGATTTTTCACTGGAGATGTGAGACTTTCTTCCACACAGGGAGGAGCTTCAGCAACTACTGCTGTGAAGAACGAGAGAAAAAGAACACAGTACAAACTAATTATTATTTCATGTTGCATATTCATTACCTTTACAATGCCTATAACATCTATACAAATAATTATCTAAGAAAAGACTACCTGAGGATAGGAATCTATCAGCAGAGACTAATGTCACATGGGTTCTCTCTCACTTTTTACTACTTACTGTCCAGCTGCTTGAGTTTGGCGAGCAGTTCCTCCAGTTGGACCCAAGCGTTCTTCATTTTTTTTGACTTGACGGGCTGCAAAATCTCCACACACCTCTGCAGCAAAGCAATCAGCTCGTCTTTAGCGAGCATCCTGCAGAGAAGGTTGACAAATGAAAAGTGAAGCATCACTCCGAGAGCCTCACTTCAATTCGGGCTGATGTTAAATAAAAATACAATTAGAATACTATTTAAATGTACATTAATATACATCTGGCCACCAGGGGGAGCAGTTTTCTTCTAAATATCCTTAAAGATTATCCATCTGTTGGTCAAATGTGTGAAAAAGTTGGCAGAACATGCTAGTGCATGACTAGAAATGAGACCTTTGTAACTCTAATATTTTTAATTCTACGTCTTTTTGTTGACTTTCAGGTTGAACATCTGGACTTACTTCAGAAGCTTCATGGCTGACTGGTATTCCTCATATTCCCAAACATTCTTCTCAAGACATGTTATATGGAGCTCTCTAATCTGTGGCACACAGACACTTCAGTGTTATAGCAAAACAGATTGAACAAGAAAGTCTTTCAACACTTAAAAGGCATTCTCTTCTTGCCTGTTTTCCGAGTGGATATCGAGGTAAAGATGTTGTCAGAGTATGGAGACACCTCAGGATGGGATAATAGTTCTTGTGATATTTACGGAGCTCCTTAACCAGCTTCTGACACACGACCTGCAAAGAGAGAAAAACAAAAAAAGTATGGTCTTCTGCTCACAGGCGTGCACTCAGTATGTCGGATTCTTCAGGTGTAGGGATGAAATGAGGAATGTACCTTTAAGTGAGTGTCATCCGTCGACAGGTTCAGCTGTTCCTGAGGTTCCTGCTTCTCTACATACCTGAAAAATACAGAAGGAAGACTTAAATTCAAGTCTTATTTATAAAAGTGAACCAAGCCATAAAGAACGCGCTTCTTAATCACATTAGGATGGAATTGATGTTCGCAGTTTGCTTACTGCTTGTAGCCACGTTAAAGCTATATCAACACAGTTTTTTTTGCTTTGCATGTCTGTTGTGTCCATTTGGAAATTTTACATAATTGTAATTAGTTGAGAGTAGGGAATTAGAAGCCGCATCAAAACCCACATTCTCTGTGTGTGTTGGTGTATACCTTTCGAAAGACGGCAGCTGCCTGATCCTCTCCAAGTCGCTCTGACTTAGCTGCATCACGTTGAGCAGAGCCTCCTTCTTCTTACAGCAGAGCACGCTGAGAGGCTGTGAGTGAAAGTGCTCCAGCAGGGCCAGCTGCTCGAAGACAGAAACAAACATTTGTTTACGACATGTCGAAAAACAACCGTCAAGTCAAAGAGCGTTACAGGGAACAGGCACATAACGCATCGAGTATTTAAACTTCTCTGTACCTGAACGCCCTTGATGAAGTTTCTCACTGAGAAGTCGTGGTAGAGGAAGATGCTGACCAGCACCTGCATCACTTTACCATTGAGCTTGAAGGGGAAGTGTGGGGTCAGGATCAACTGTGAACAAAGACAAGACAAACTAAACAATGAAAATCCTAGGTTTATGTTTAAAAAACGGTAGAACGGCAAACTTAAGGCAAACCATACTCATCAAGATAAAATGGCAATAACTCTGAACAAAGATTTGAGTCACAAAAGTGTAAATATTGTTGAACTCAAACCTCCGTAATACAGACTTAATAAAGCTTAGCATATGAGCAACACAAAGCAAAAAGGCTGTTGTTATAGATTACATTATATGACTCAGTTTTTATATCATCTCCTCCTGTAGATTACTCGACTGAAACATATCATCTTCCGTGATCAACTTTAAAAACCAGGATTAAATCTGAACACACTCTAAAAAAGAATTCATTGTCATCTAACTGGCTGCTTAACATCCTTCTACAACCTCTGATAAAGTCTTCAAACAGGAAATTGCAAATGAATTTGCCCTTTAAAGAATTACAGTATTCTGCATGTTAAGATGGGCAATATCCAGTATTGCATGATGTGTATATGATTCAAGTTTTCCAGATATGTTTATTAAGATGTCACAGTTAGCTGCAGTCATGTGTTCAGATGGGTTTCAGTTTTTGGAGTCAAACTTTGGAACAGCTTTAGTGAGGAGTTGAAATTTATGTCGTTCTCTGGGGCGTTTTTAAAAACAAAACCTTAAAGTGAAAAGTGATTAATGATTACGACTTAAAATAATAAAGATTGAGAAACTATTCAGAGTTTATATGATTTTTTTTTCCTTTGTTGTATTCCTGAAGTTCTGGGTTATATTAAAGATTGTATAGGATATGCAGAAATAAGCTTTGGGCTTCAGCCTGTTCCTGTTTTGGTTGGTCATTGATTGTTTGAATTTTATTGTGTGAAATGTGTAAACATGTCAAGTGTTTATTTGTATCTGTAAGTGGAATATTTAATTAAAGGATTTTGACTGTTTTTTTTAATGAATGACCAAAATACAAAAATATTCATTTATTCATTCAGTCAGTCAGTCAGTCAGTCAGTCAGTCAGTCACTGACCACCATATTCCAAGACCTGTTGATGCAATCCTTCTTCACTCTACTGTATGAGAGAGGGGAACTACCTTGTCTATGACTGTAGCCAGGTGCTGTGTGCAGGACAGAGACTGGAAGAGTTCTATGCACAGCAGAGAGGACACAGAGTGGGGCAGTATGCGCTGGATGGTGCTGGGAGATGTAGCAATACCAAAGATGAACATCAGCGGGAGACGTTGAATGTAGCGGCTGTGGAACAGTGGACATGTTATGAAGTTCACATTTAAACAGTTGTGGTGATAAAACTTGATAAAAAAAAAGGTATACTGATGTGATGTGGTTACACTAACACTAACAAAGTGTTTAAGGTAAGCGAAGCTACAAAAGCAGATTTATTCTGGATCTTTATAAATAATAAGCACTAAAACATTGTTTTAAGAGATTTCATGTGGAGAAAATAGAAGAGCTTCTTGTTACCTGCATATGAGAATGAAGTCCTGAAGAACTCTTGGGTTGAAAGCCTCCAAATCTTTGAAAATAATGACAACAGGAGGCTGCTGTGGATCCTCTCTGACTGGAGAGCTACGCTTTTTTCCAGGAGTATCAGAACTGGATTTCTGATAAATCGTGGGAAAAAAGTGATGCAAGTGCCTTAGGTGTGCCAAATTTGAGATGCAACTACCAGTAAATTGAAAGTAATGCCTACTAGTTATTTCTTTATCATCACACCTTTGTTTTTGCATTGTACCAATCACAGAGTGTACTGAGCGAGCAGTGCACACTCTTGTGCAGTGGGGTGTTGGCGTGCTCAGCCTCCTCCTCCTCCTCATCATCATCCACAGTCACTGCGGTGCCCATTAACCTCTCCAGGACTCTCTTCATCAAATGCTTCAATGCTGAAATGATAAAGCAGACACTGTAACCTCAAACTGCAACGGAGGTACGGGACAAAATCCTAAAGAAGTGGAACCATTACTACCTATTTATTGGTGTTTAAAATTTAAAAAAAAAATCCATTACCACCGCACTCTTTGGCCTGCACAGAGGCCACATGAGGGCTGACAGACTGCTGGAGCAGGTCAGACAGACTCTGGAAGGTCATGTCGTGGTCTGGGACATTTACACCTGTGGAGGAACTGCCCCGTTAGTCTCCAAGAAACACTCACAGGCATACCACGACACCGATGAAAGTTTAAAAAAAAAAAAAGGGGTAGATTCCAACAGTTACATTCTCCTCACCAACATACCGAGCACAAGGGCCGCCGTGGGAATCTCACTCGCCCTCATCTGCGCTGCCCAGTCACTGTGCTGGCGAGTGAAAGAGCACTTCCTCGTGAAGTCCAGCAAACTGTCCAATATTTTCCTGTTGAGTTCATCCTGTAAAACCTGACAGACAGCAAAAGCGAAGTGTTAAACAGCCTGTTTCGTTTCTGAAATGTAGGGCACGGTTAACCTAATAATAAAAGAGAAAACTGCATTAAATAATTATTTTCGTTTACCAATTGAGGATTTGGTCAAAATATGCAATGTGATTTTTACATTTGCGTGAATGCAATGTTTATTTCCCAATTTAAGGTTTTTGTGACAGTAGAAAAAGCAATTTGGTTAAGTATTATATACGATGTTAACCCCCATGTAAGAGATTATACAAGCTCATATGGACTATGTTCAGTTTGATGCCTAAGATGTATAAGAATATCAGATTTAAAAATACTTTTTTTACCTACTGCAATTGCACTTTATAACGACTCCCCTTTAAGTAAGGACAGAAGACATTTAAACTTTTAAACTTTAGCCTGAGTTGCACAAATCATGAATCAAACTGTATTGTGGGCTCATGTTTTTTTTTGTGGGTGGGATATTTATGTATATATGTGTTGTGTGTTTGTATGTATGCTGGCTGCTGGAACACCTACATTTCCTTGCTGGGATGAATAAAGTATATCTTATCTTAATCTTAATCTTAACCTTAATATAGACAAACTGTTGACACTTTGCTATTAGAGATGTTCCCCATTGCCAAACTATCTTCTCATTTAAAGTTCTGACAGAAATGATGGCATAACATCTGCTCTTACCTCTGTATCTGCTTTAATCTGGTCCCATAACTCTTGGCAGAGTTTAAATCTGGTTTCTCTGTGTTCAGCTGCATCACAACCGTGCAGGAAATAATCCTCTGTCGAGAAATTACATCCAAACATGAGAGTCATTTACAACACAGAAGTTATTTTAAATACTCGATTACCAGGCAGTCACATGTAAAATAACTCACCCAAACTCGGTGTCTTCTTCTTCTTAGCACTTGGCTTAAAAACGAAACAGCCCTGAAAGAATGATAGTTTTAAGCTACAGTGCCCGTAAACGTAAACGTAAACGTAAACAAAGAATTGTCACCTTGATGATTCTATGTTGTGAAGTTTTATGAAATATTATGAATATTACCTTCGACACGGATGAAGTAGACATCACAGTATTGACGGGATCAATCGGCTGATATATATATATTGTGGATATCTCGTCAATGAACTAAGTTACTCACTGTTTAAAGGGTAAAATGTGTTAAAAAATGTTTTTGTGTCCTTACGAAGTGGCTACAACTTCCCGCCAAAGTGACGTTTACGGAAGAGGATGTGTTCAGCTGCTCAATGGTCCCGCGGGTTTAATGTTCATAGCTTAGTAAACCAAGACAACCGAGCAAATGAACTGAACTGACGTGCAAGTCCAAACCACGAATTAAGAGCGACAACAGTGTTACAAAAAAAAAAACCCATGCCCCTTAAGTTCAGTGGTCATTTATTAATTTAGTTTAAAGTTGGATAAATGAAACATTGCTGGTCTTGAACGCCCCTCTCTCGTTTACAGCACCACCGTTTTCCACCAGAGTTTGATGGTTTCCCCTCCGTGGCCTCTCTGCAGCTGAAAAGTTCCTCCTGTAAAGTTGAACATCCAGAAATGTGGAGCATGCTCTCTAAACTCATTCTTTAGTATTGATTGTAATACAATAAAAACTATGTAATTAAGGCAGCGTAGAAACAAAGATATTAGCTTTAATAACCGTATTCTTTTTATGTGATTCGTCTTGTTATATTTTTTTTTGTATTTTGTTACTGTATACTTTTGATTGTCTAAAAATGAAACAGCTGCTCAAGTGATTTTTTATTTTATTTTAAAATTAATTTTGTATAATAAATGTATAATTGTGGGTACAGGTTGACTAATTTCAGTTGCTTTGCTCTTAAGTTTTGTCATAAATTCAGCAGGTATGAAGACAACCTAACCATTGAATCTCTAATATCCATACAAAAATGTACTTGATCCTAACTGTGTATTTGTAACTGCATCAGGTTGGAGCGTAATGTATAAATCTAGGAAGCCTAGAAAAAATGTAATGTGACCGAAAAGATATGCAACAAACACACACACACACACAAAAAGATCTGCAGACAACACTTTACAAAAAGAACCAGTAACAGTTTATTGAACACTTTGTGGAAGACATGTAAATATTACAGATAGGTCTACTAGTGTTGAAAAAGGATAAAATAAATACAAACAGAACTTGAAATCCCATAGGGATATATAAAAACATTTTTCTTTAAAAGTCTCCATTTAGCAAAAGAAAAAAACATCTTCAGTACTAAGCATAAATACAAACATGTTTCTAAAATCTATGCCCTATAGGTTACCTGGTTATTATAACTAACATACATACTTAAAATCATCCAAGACAGTTTTTCATAAAGTACAAAATAGGCCATTTTATTGTTAACTGTGACTGTTACTTTTATCAGTTGGAAATCTGATGTATTAACAAACCATTCTGCAGCATAACATCTCAAATCCTGAGTGAGATTGAGTTGAACACAAAATGTTGGGCTATGATCCGCTATAAAGCCACTTTTTTATTATGACTGTGGGCTTCATGTATTGTAGCTGCTTTAGCAAAAGATCAGCACCTTCTGAAAGTGTTTTGTCCATGACAATCTTGACATTGCTAACTGATGTAAGATTAAGGGGATTTCTGAACTCTACAAGATTTTCGTAGCCTCTAAACTCATGACTTATTCTACTTCTCATTGTAGATCTCTGTTTGTGTGTTTGGTGTCTTTTGGACGGCAGTTCAGCACTTGATTTGTCATTTAATTTGCGTTTGGAAGAGTTGGTTGACTCTGAGGTTTCCAAGAACTTAAGGAATGAGTCCTCAAGCCCAAGAGGCTTGAAAGCACCTTGATTAACCCCTTCATCAGGTTGTTCTTGGGCTGTAGGTGTACCAGGATTTGAGTTCTCTCTTGAACTGTTAACAGTCGTACGATTTCTTAGAGACTGGATCCTCTCTGGACAAGCTGGTGTAGGACGTGCCGGTTTCCTGGGACGGCCTCTTTTAATGCCACCCTCTGTCCCAGTGGAAGCTTGAGATTCTGCACTATCGTCGTTTGACAGCTTGCTGTCTTCTAGGCCTATTCTATCCACAAGCTCATCTGATTTCTGGTCACTTGATTTTTCTGCGTCTTCTGGCTCCGTCTCCTCAGAAGATGAGGTTGATGCGCCTTCAGATTTGTTTGTATCCTTGAATCTGGAACGGGAGTACTTTTTACAATAAATGAACTGGCTCCTCTGATCTTCAATGTATCTTTCTGTGAGGCCATGAGTGGTGTAATGTTTGAATATACTTCTCTCTGCCCGCTCAACAGCATCGCAGCCTATTATCATGCATGGGTACTGCAGGGAAAACTTCTTGATGCACATGGCTGATGCATCCTCGTGGGATTTTAGTTTAGGCTTCCCAAAATGAGTCCAGTGTTCAATGGACTTCACATCTTTCTTTTTAGTGTTTTTCTTCTTCCCTTTGAATTTGCTCTCCACATTCTCTTTCCCATTAACTCCTGGAAAGAGCCCTGCTGATTTCGTCCGTCTTCCGTCACTTGCTTTAGGATCATAAACGTATTCATGCTTTTTTATGAGGTGACGGAGGAGGTTTGATTTTGTAGTGTAGACACGGTCGCATCCTATATACTCGCACTTGAAAGTTTGATCAACTGAGCCGCTCTCAGAGATAGCTATCTCCTTGTGAAAATTCTTTATGTGCTCCACATACTTTTCCACTGAGTCAAAGGGGAGAGCACACTCCGGCCGATCACAGTTGAAAGTCCCTATGGTCATGCTGGCCATCATAGAGGTGGCTTTATCACGGGTAAACTTGTGGAGTAAGAGGTAATGCTGGATTAACCTTGTGATTCCAATGAACACCCTTGAACAGTCTTTCACCTGACACCTGACCTCATCATCTTGGCTTATGCTCTGATGGCTTGCCTGTCCATTTTCAACACTAGTCGTTTCAGTTTCAGCTTCAGCTTCAACTTCAGGTTTGCTAGCAGGCAGAGATGCCTGATGCATGGCCCTGTAATGCAAAATCAAATTTTGCTGAATAGTGAATGCAGCAGTGCATCCTTCATGAACACAGCGATATGGTCTATATGGGCTGAAAGCGTCTACATCACACATTTGGAGGCTCAACCTTTTCTGATGTTTCTGTTTTCTCTGGGATTCATCCTTCGTTGGTGTGTTTTTAGAGCTGCTGGGTTTTTCTGGGGAGGATGAAGCTGATGCAGAAGCGGGGCTGGACTTTGGCTCTTTTTCTTTGCTTAATGCTGCGTCTGATTGCCCTTGGTGCTCTTTTGCTTTCCCAACCGGACTGAGTTTCATTTTTAAAGTCGATTTCTTTTTCACATTTGGACTCTTGTTTACAACAGCCACTCTCTGTCGATCAGGGGATTTTTCAAGAACAGAGGGTGCCACCTCACCAATCAACCTCTCAGATAAAAAGCTTTCAGGTGATGGTAGTCTTGTAACAGTTGATACTTCTGGTGTGAAACCCTGTTTAACTGCATTTTCTGGTGAAGTGATCTGAGTAACTTCTAGATTGTTCTCATTGTCAGTTTGAGGAGCAATTGCAATGTCAAGGGGTTCCTGTTTAATTGCAAGTAATATTGGTACTGCAGATTGTGTAGTGTTACTGTTATTGGCATTACTGGTTGCACTGCTTACTAACACGTTGTCTTTGTTAAGTCTGAAAGCACGCCTGTTACGGGCACTGATCTTTAGCTTCTGCATTTCTACCTTTGACAATCGATGGACTTTTTCATAGTGAATTCTCAAACCTGTTGTTCTCGTGAATGTTTTGGGGCAAATCTGACAGGGATAAGGCGACAGTTTAGATGGGGTTCTTTTAAGTTCTTCTATCATCTCATTTGTGTAATCATGCATTCTACACAGGTGTTTAAACAATGCCTCCTTAGTCATGAATGAGTACTCACAGTCATCTTGGTCACACTTGAAAGGCTTGGGCACCTTTTCAGAGGGCTTGTCATCACTCTTACCAAGTATTTTTCTTTTTTCAACATCAGGGGCTGCCTTGCTATGACTGATATTTTGTTCTAATAACAGAGCGTTCCGCATCTTCTCTTGTGCAGCCTCAATCAAATCAAGCCTTTGAAAGGCATGTGAAATTTCCATCAAGTGATCTTCTTGATAAGGTGCAGCAAGAGCTGGGTTTGCCAACTCTCCTGCCTTCTCTGGCTGGTTTTCAGGGTAACAGTTAAGGAGTTTGAATAATCCATTATGTTTGTGTATTGAGGCTCTTGTTTCAATGCCATGGGTGAAGACAAAGTGGTCAAGCTACACGATTCCTGTGAGAAATCCCCATTTGCCATGTTGAATATTGCTCCATTAGTGTCAGGGACATGGGGGTCATTGAGAAAATCAAGGAAAGATGTTGGCAGTTCAGCCGTAAGATCGATTTCATCTACGGGCCTGCACTGTGAGCGTTTAGACAAGTGACCTCCGAGAGACTTGGTGCTTGTGAACTCTCTGAAGCACCTCCTACAGATGACCTTACCATCCTTAATGATTGCCGGCCATTTTGTTCGTTTGCTCAACCTACTGCGTTTGCCCTTTTGCACGTCAGGTTCACCAGCCTTATCATCTGAGGCGTTATCCTCACAGTCAGCATTTGGACATTCCTCATCTAAAGAGAAATCTCCTTGAGTGACACTTTGGGGGCTGAGCATGCCATCTACCGAGTTGTCCATCTGTTCATAACCAGGAGTGGACACATTCTCAGTTTTAACTATTTCATTTCTCACTTTCAATGGAGGTTGGGCCTCTGGGCTCAGGCATTTCATGGGAATATCGACCGAAGAACCTTGAGTAAGACAAGAGTTTTCACTTTGAGCATATGGAGTGTGGTAGCTTCCATCAGGGAGGCTGTCAATTGTTGAGATACTGTTTCCATTATCCAACTGGTTTGTCAGATTTGTATTAGCTTTTCTGTCTCCACTGCCCTCGGGATTTATTACTCCATACTGTTGCCCTCCATTATGCATTTGCCCTCCATTGTCAAGCATCAGAGAACTGGACACGTACTGTGACATCAAACTTGAATCCGAAGGCCCATGTGACATGGTAGAACCGTGCATAGCTGCCATTGAATGATCTCTTCAGGTGGCGGGGGCACTGTGTTCTGATAAGGGTCTGGCTGCCAATTAGGATAGCCCCGAGAGGGGAACTCATTCATGTTGAAGGCCTCTGGATAACAGCTGTTTATGGGAGGTGAAGACCATGACTGGGACATGTCTGCCTGCATCATTCCACTTGGATTATTTTGGCTTCCCCATGATGGGTACAGTGTTGGGTTCACCATTGGAGTGATAGGCACAGGCTCCATTGATCCAGCATAACACTGAGCTGGCGAGCTTGAACATCCCGTTTGGTAATCCATTTGCTGCATCCCAGGTTTGTTGCATAGTATTCCTGGCTGATTTGGAGACCTATTTCCCAGGTTCTGACGCTGACTTGGTGAAGCAAGCCCACTTGGTGCCTTTTTTGCAGTAATTCTGGCCACCTTGTTATATTTCTTTGCCAATTTCCAGTCCTCAAATATTTCAGGGTGTTGCTTCTTCACATGCCTGGATAGACTTTTGTTTGTACTGTATGCCCTTGTACACTCACTATAAGGACAGCAATGCAGGTTCTCCTCATTGCCAGCAGTCACAGCAGGTGTGCTCGAAGGATAGCCTTGCAGTGAAGAAGGGATTTCTGTCTTTATATGACTTGGAGAAATTATTGGTGGAATCACATTTTTAAATTCATTGCACTGAACATTATTAAGCCCTTCTCCCTGATGCCCTGCTGCAGGATTTGTTAAAATGTGTACAGGATACACTGGAGGGTTTTCACTTTGCCCAGCCTCATTAGGGGGCACATGAGGAGGCTCTGGTGCTGGGTTCACCTCAGCTGCTGGAGTGGGGTTTGTTAAAGGAGTGTAGCATTTCTCTGGTTCTTGGATTTCTGGCTCTCCTTCAGAACTCATCATGCTTTCAATCGAGTGTTTAACTTTCTGAGAAACTGCGTCTATAGCAACCTCAGGAGATGTGCATGGTGATGTGTTTGCATTTACCACCTCCTTCATATATACATCTGTCTTTATACTTTCAGGGCTGACAACTGCAGAACTTGGGTTTTCTCTAATTGGGGGGCTCTGGAGTGGTGCCTCTACTCTTGGAGTGACAGGAGGATTTTGATTACCGATAGGCAAACAGTTTGCACCATTTGTACTATGAATCTGTTGGTGAGACAAGAATTGAGACTGCGAGTAGAATATTTTGCCACAGTTATCTGTTTGGCAGGTGTATGTAAGGTAGTGCTGTGCCTCGTGATCGTACAACAGGTAGGCCTCACTGAAAACTTGGCCACAGTTGGGGAACATACACTGGGCCTTAAATTCAGAATGTATTTTTCTATGCATTAGAAGCTCAGAATTGGAGTTAAAGTTGGCTTTGCAATCCAACTGTATACAGATGTACGGCTTGCTACCACAGTGCATCTGCAAGTGATCATTCAGATGTCTGACATTGACAAACTGCCGCCTGCAATACTGACACACCACTTTCTGCTTTTGTATCTCTAAAAATCTCATGGCTTCCTCGTCATCCTTGTGAGATCTGACATGAGCCATGAGGTTACGGAAAAACTTGAAAGCCTTTGAACAATTTTTGACCGGACAGAAACAGTCTTGACTAATGTTTGTGTCAGATGTTGTTTGTTCTATTTTAACAGGCAATGCCAATTGTTCAGTAACTTGAGATTCCATTTTAACAGGACTAATACTCATCTTCGCAGCAACTTTAGGACTTTTTGACGGACTTTTAGGGGACTGAGGTGGTTTGGTTACCTTCCTAGCTGCTTTCATTGCTGCTAGTCTCTCTTTGCACGATTGCTTTACATGTGATGCTACATGTGGCTCTAAAACCTCCCTACTTTCAAAACTGTCAGCACAAATTGGACAGAGATACACTCCATCTTTGAAATGCTTCTGTGCGTGGCGAACAATTCTGTGACCCAAGAATTCTTTGTCGCACAAAACACAATACTGCATGTAAGCTCGCCAATTTCTGAAACGAGCAGACACAAAACCCTGCTCCCGAAGTTTCTTCGCCTCTCTGTTTTTTTCTCTTTCATCTGTGATTTCATTGAGTTCATTTGTAGTGGTTAACAGAAAATCCTCCAAGTCTCTGTATTCAGGGAGTTTGCCAATTGCACTTTCCACCTCCTGTTCGTCTGTGTCGTTGAGTGTGTCTATAGATGACACAATAGCTGCCTCCTCTCCCATTAGTGCCAAGCAGTTGCGTTTCAGTGTTTTCCAGTCCCAGAACTCTGGATCAAAAGGCCACTGTGTCTTCAAGGCCAGCAGTAACTCACATCGTAAAGAATTGGGCACTGGTAAACTCCCATCCTCCTCAGGCTTTTGGTCTGGTTCGTTGTATAGTGACTCCACGGCATAATACGAGTCAATGGTAGGCTGTAGGAGGAACTCAGTAAGCTGGCATGCACGTTTCACTTCGAGATCTGTTGGCAAGAGGCAGGAAATAGTCTTGCAGATAGTAGACTTGCTATCCTTATGGTCACTGGAGGTCATTTTCAAAGCTTGAATGCACATTTCCACACACACTGGAAGTCCCACCTCTCCAAGCTGCAGAAATAACAAAGAAAATTAAAGCCATGGTTTTGATTTTGAAGTCCTTTAAACAGATGCGGTATCCTATGAGTTATTCCAAGTGTGTATGGTTATATGTAATGGTTTTATTTATAAGCTACAAAAAAAGACTTTTTTCCTTACCTCATTTTGGATGACTTTGATTAGAAACAGAATATGACAGACACTTCTGCAGAGAAGAGCCATCTCTTTGCTGTGTCCAAGGAATGCATCAGCCGAAGACTCCAACCGCATTAGTAGCTTACTCCAGAACAATGTGAGCTCCCTGCAAAACAACAAACACACGTATTAAAAAATGGCTACTCATCATTTTTTATTACTTGTTCTTTTTTGTTAAAATAAAAGTATTTTGATGAAACATTCTGTCCATACATTTTCATAATCAACATGAAATATCCATCACAAGCTCTTACTACCCTAGAAGACATCACTACATGTTTTTAAACGTATAAGGGTCCAATCCACGCATCTAAAAACTAGAAAATATTGAATGTTTGGTAGCGTTAAAGGAAAAACTGTTGCATATGTCACATATACATTATTAATCGTTACAAAAACTGAAAAAGGTAGATCACAAGTATTAAACATATGTAAAAGTTTTAAAAAGATTGGAACTTGAGAAAATAAGTCTTGCATTAAAAATGGTAAGTACAGTAATACACATTTAGCTTATTATTTCACAGCTGTCCTCTCTTCCTTCAAGTACAGAGGCATTAAGAGACTCCGATCTTAAATTCACACATTTGCAATCCTGCTCGACAATGAGGTTACCTTCATGCATATTCATTAGAGAGATTTCATCAGGTTGCATAATACAATTATTCAATGACTACTGAATTCCTGGGGTTGATTTTGGAAGAGGTCTTGGAGGATCTGTCTGAAACAAAGTGCAACACTTACCAGGCACAATAGACATCCCCTTGGAGAAGCTGACGCTTGAGAAAGGCAGAACATACGCAGAGAGCTCCTTTCTCGTCTCCCTCTGACTCCAAGTTGCAGATCATTTCAAGAGCATCTTTACAGTCTATTGATGCGATCTAACAGGCAGAGAGAGAGAGAGAGAGAGAGAGAGAGAGAGAGAGAGCGAGAGAGAGCGAGAGAGAGATACAGAGAGAGAGAGAGAGAGAGCGAGAGAGAGCGAGAGAGAGAGAGAGAGAGAGAGAGAGAGAGAGATACAGAGAGAGAGAGAGAGAGAGAGAGAACTAAAAACTTCTGTCGTTTTTTTAACAGGACTATAAAAAGGACTATGTGTGTTAAAAACAACAACACACAGCTGTCATGTTTGATCTCTTACCTCCTCCATTAGCTGCTCCTGACTTTTTGTCATACAGATGCAAAGCAAGTAAGTCTGCTTAAAGTTTCCTTTTCCTTCATATCCCGGATACTCGGAGCACATCTTTGCGAGGACAGCAGCTTTATCAGCTCTGTCCACTTTGATAAGATGCTTGATCCTCATGTTGAGAAGCGTGGGGCCTTCCAACTCAAGATACTCATGAACTAAGAAAAACAAATAAAGAGAGAGAAGAACACAGAGACAACATGTTAGAAAACTACAGACAAAAGGGAATGCAGGCAATACAATGTACAAAGAAATATATAATTTAGTGCAAATGCAACTTTTAAAATTAGTATTGGGCAAAAAACCTTGTTCCGGTTGAGGAGTCTGATTGGACAGGATGCTGCTTAACGTGGTGTTGGACCAGACGCCATCTTGCTGCGCCAGAACTGAGAGCTGGTAAAGCTGCGTGCTCCCGCTGTCTTGCAAAAGGCTGTGTGCCGACTGCAACAGACATCAATCAATGTAACTATAAAACTACAAATAAGGGGAGTCCGCCTCAAATAGACATGCCAGAGACTAAAATAACAAGGTTACTGCAGTGGCTTTGTGCCATTTTGCAATGGTTAACAGATGACTTCTTCAATGTTTTAGAAAGAGTACCAAAAGATCAAAATGTTCCATATATTCTTTTTTATAACTTTTCAATGATGATCTAAACACATTGTAATAACGATACAACTTTTCATTTCTTATCAGTGCAAAGGCAAGCCTCTCCTAACAGCCGGGGGATACTGACCTTCATGGAGGACTGAAACTCCTCCCATAAGGCAATAGGGACATGCTGGGGCAGTAAGAGCAGCAGCTCTGCACAGCTCCTGTGGATACAACACAGTCATTTGTTAAAGCCACATTTAGGTCAAGGATGGACAACACTTCAGGTAATAAGAGGAACCATGTGCGTATTACTGTTCAAATAATGCAATGTGAAGTCAGTAGTCACACGTCTCATTACAAGTTTTTCAAAGTTGACCAATAAGATCACTACTGACGTTTCAATGTTTCATTAAGTTTCATCTTTCAATGTCAGGATAACTGTCTTGGATTCTCTGCATGTGGTGTTTGCACTGAACCGACCTCTGCATGCAAAGTATACTATTTAGCTCGTCCCAAATATGTCAGAGCTCCCCAAGATGTAGCCTACATTTCTATTCTGTACTCGTGCCTCAAGGACTCTGCCTCCATAACTACATCAAGAGCACTTAGTGGGACTAGCTGAGCAGATACTTGAAACTGTTTTTTTTGTTTTTTTAAATGTAAATTTCCTTTTAGGAATCAAATCTGTGTTTGTTTTATTCTTTCATGGAATCATATATACAGAGATCACACACTTCTCGAACTGCAAAGTCAATTTATGTCGTGTCAAATGTTATGTGGACATCAAAAACATGTGTAGATGTTTTTCTGTTGTTGCCGCTGAGACTCGATGAAGATGATTCTCCAAACATTCTGTGTAAAACATGTTAAAGGTCTTCCATTTCTAGCCCAACATGTTTCAGTCCTGTTCAACATGAGTCTGGTTCTGCTCGAGGTTTCTGTCTGTTAAAAGGACGTTTTTCCCTCGTCACTGGTACTTACTAAATGTGGCCTGGTGTTTTGCTCATTGTGGATTCATATTGGATCTCTGTGAATAATATAACAACGAGTTTGGACTAAACCTGCTCGTTTTGTTAAGTGTCTTGAGACAACATTTGTTATGAATTGGTGCTAAACAAAAATTGATTAACCAAAAACATTTAACTTGTTACACCTCCCCATTTCTACTACGTATTTATTATTACAAGTTTTTTATTCGACCAACTTTCCAGTTGATCTTAGTTTTGATTCAATGAATGAATTACTTCTTTAAAGAACTTTAATCTGGTTAACATTCTTTTAATTTCCACACAATCACATACACATCTGCTCTCTTACTACACACACACACTTGCCTGCCACGCCTCTTTCTGTCTCTATCCTCCTGCATGTCTCTAAACGTATGATGGCAGGACTAACAGGTAAATGAAGGAGAGCACAAGTGGAAGTTGTCTTCTACATAAATCGAACGAAGATGGTGGTCATGCTATCTGAAGGATTAAAATATGACTAAAACCTGCTAAATGGGTCACCAAATATGCCTTGGCAGCCTTTATTAAACCTTGGCGGCCTGCCAAAACAAAGTCAACGTGCAGGAAACTCTGCAGAGTTTCTACTCACAGTGCTAACTTTTCAAGTAGGAGTGGCACGTTTTCACATTCAGAGGAGAGACAGGAGGCGGCCTGCGCAAAGCTGACGATAGCCACAGTGTAGACCTCCAGCAAAGGCAGTGGATCCTCATCAGTTTTCCAACGGCCAGCATGCTCCACAAGGACCTGGCAAACAAAGAAACACGACAGTGAGATGAACCCATTGAACACTGAGTTGTTTCTTTTCAGAATCATAAAAAACAGTCTGAAGCAAACTGCTGACCCAGCAGGTCCTGGCATGGGATAAGTTCTTTAAAAAAGTTTGTTAGAGCAAACAAAATGTTTATAAACAATGATATTGTTCTGTGTATGCTAAAACAATTAATTCATTAAGCGAATGACAAAATTCAGAGGATTGTCAGTTTTTCTTTTTCTTATATCTTCAGTAATGGGTTTTTTCCTTGTGTGTTTAATGCAAGTCCCTTAATACAGTACTGGTAAAATATGTGAGATGTCATATTTGAACGGCTCAATCTTTTCTGAAACATTGTATATCTAAAACTAACGAATAGAAGAACAATTATTACAAGTTAAGATTTGAGCTTTTTCAGGTTTCCATCACATCACTCTCTAGGTCCCGTTTTTATTATCAGCCAATGTGTGTGTGATAAGTCATTTTTGCACTGCTGTTGGTTCAAATTATATTAAAGGAACCTAAAATTATTTATGAAGGACTTTTAGTCGCCTTTTCCCCGTTGTAACAATTGTTTACCAAAAACTAAGTTATGAACCGAGCCGTGACTCCTGGCTAACATTAAACCCTCTTGGTGAAGGAAAATAATAAAGACAAGTAAAGTGGAACTTCTACAAATATATGCAAATAAAAATATTTAAAATTAAATCTTATATTTTCACAATTAAATATGTATTTCTATCTAAGCACAGTGCACCAGAGCAGTGGTGGAGTTGTAATTACATGATGGTAAATGCTGTTAAATAACCCCAGCCACTTTATATATACACATATATATATATATAAACAACTTTAGTCTTAAGTCGAAAAAGACAAAATAAACATGTTAAAGTTAGAAATGAATCGGTCTAAATGTAAAAGATGGGGTGGCGATTAACAATGAAAAATAGTCAAACTTTGAGTTCTGGACCATAAAGTGTAATTATTACATGAAGAACAATATTAACAGCATAACAAATTACCTGAGATGAAAAAAATATTGCATTAATATTAATTATGTTTTGATCAACTTTATACATAATTCAGGCAAGATGTAGAGACCTGATTCAACAAAGCAACAATGTGCGGAAAAAAGTGATTTTTAATCCTCCATCTTTTTTTTTTTTTTTTTTACAAAGAAGTAAGAAGAAGTAAGCATCGCCTCCATCTCTGAAAAGTTCCTCCGTTACTTCAGCAGTATATCCATGCACTCTCATTTCATCCTGCCGGCTTTACTTTCATGAGATCATCCTCCATTAAGACTTCCCTGCACACAGTCGCCCCCTTTTTTTCCACAAATAACTTTTTTTTTCTTGAATTCATTTCTCCCAGCCGAGGCTTAAACTAACTAACCCCCGCTCTCTCTCTCGTAGAGATGATAGTAGTACTAGTGTCAGCAAAATGTTACATCAGCGGATATCTCGCTTGATATTTACGTGGTCAGGGCAAATTAATGAGCAGGATGTGTAATGGAGTCAGTGACCACAGCCACACTTTCCCTTTTTTAAATCACAGCTGCAGGCTGCTTTAACACTGACATCAGTTGAACATCTTCTGCTGAAGCCGACTATATGACTGTAATAAACATCTTCGCTTGTATGTGGAACTGAATTAATTAGTTCACAAGGCCTGGGCTAGCACCTTTTGAGAAAAAAAAAAAAATCATTGATCTTTTACGTTTCGAAAAAAGAGCTCAACAAAAGTAACCATTTTCTGCACAAGGTTTAAACGTGACGACCTGCAGAGATGCAATGTTATAACATCGTAACTATATTTTCTACGGGGGGTAGAAACTTGTAATTGCGTGCATGTATATCTAATCGCCATGTGAAATCTCGCTAACGTAGGTATCCATTTTTTGCACAGCATGACCACTGCACAGGACAGGGGGACCCTGCATACCAGCTAGCAGCATTCATCTGCTATTAGCTATCTGGCCTGGAAAATACCAATAAGGCGTGCACAGCGCGCACACACTGATGTGACTTATCGCCGCATGGATGGTCAGACTTTGCAAATAAGTTCACGCCACAGACAAACACGATGAAAAGAATAGCTAAAAACAACACATGAGTTTTTTTCCCCCATCTTGAAATACCAGGCTGTTAGCTGGGAAGCTAACCCCTTTAGCTACATTGTTGTAGCAAACGTAGACGCGCATCCTCGGCCAGGAAGCCAGAGGGGCTGCAGGCTGCTGCCCGGGATGAGCAGCAGGAGAGAAGGCTAACCTGGCAAAACTCCTGGCAGAAATGCAGAGAGGCTTCCAACGGAGACTGCGAGCTCTCTTTCAAAGCTGTGGTCAGACCCTGGAAGCGCCCTCGGAGCTCCTCGATAGCTTTCCGTGTGTCATATTCCTTCTCTGTCTCCCCCTCCGCCATCTTCACAACAATCACGACCGCGTACGCACAGATGTTACGCTGCCAGACTCGCACACGCACGCGCACGCAGAGGGGGGAAGGGAGAGCACAAAGTGGCCCCAAATACACACTCACACACACACACACACACACACACACACACACACACACACACACACTCACTCACACACTCACCCCTGATGTCAACAAAGCATCTATGACCTTACAGTGACACAAAATCATCCTCTGCACACAGGCTGGACGTGAACTCACGGATTCCTGGATTTGAGGAACACCTCATGATGTGTCTGTCTGTGTCCAGCAGACAGTGAGCATCAGTGAAAAAAAACAAAACAGCCTCAAACATCTAGAAAAACTTTGACATTTACCCAAGTTATAATCAATCTCTAGGACGAACAGGACACGATATTCCAGTCTGTCTTGTAACTACAGAGTGGTCGTGATAAAAAGCTGTTATTGCGTGACTATAACTATGTTTAAGTAATGTTCCTCTTGGTTTTATGTCGACTTGATGTCTTATATTATCCTCAATTTGTTCAATTTACAAAGAATCAAACAAGCAATCATTCTAAAATATTCTTTTCATTTTGATACAATGAAGGTAGGCCTTTTTGATCACACGACAACATCCATTGTTGGAAAAAGGTCAACATTACCAGAGATTTTCCTTCTTCCCCCAACGAGCACAAAGTCTTGTTAAAGATAGCTACAGTAGTTTGTTGATGTCTTGACATGTATATTTTGTGGTTGCCAGTTCTAATTTGAAAACAAGGTGTTTGATGCCCCAAGCAACTCTGCCACTACTGATGTCCAAACACAATTTGCTTCTGACAAAAAGGCACACTCAATCACTCACACACCACAGATACCATGTATTTCACTACAAGACACATGAATGAAACTGGAAAATCTGGGTGAGATTTTATTGCTTTTCAATCTACATTATTTTAAACACATCTATCCATGCAAAAATGTGGGCTAATAAATACAAATCACAGACACTTGCCAACACAAGAGTTTACATTTGAAAACAGAGACTAGCATGTGTACGTGAACAGAAGCATCATTTGTTGCCGAGCTGAGTGCTTGCAGGGTTGTCTCCGCTTCCCATCTGTCATATCTTATGGAAGTAGCAGGTGCTGCAGTGGCATTCTGTGTGGTTTCTCACCTTTATGCCAAACACCTCGGTCTGAAAGAGGAACAGATGAGGAAGAAAGCAGAGTGACAACGGTATTAACAAAGTCTCATTGATTTGTGAAAGTTCACTTTAAGCAGTCTCTTTTGCCTTTATTGATAGGACAGCGTATGAGAGACAGGAAATGTGGTGAGGAGAGAAAGGGTAGACATCCATCAAAGGACAGAGGCTGGGAGTCTTAACTATTGTAGAAGTTTCAGCAGAATCCTTTCCCTTTTATTTGGGGCTTTTATGCCTTTATTTGAGGGACAGTGGACAGAGAAGGGAATAGGGGAGAGAGGTGGGAACAACATTCATGGAAAGAGCCGAGGGTCGGAGTCGAACCCTGGCTGCACGCATTGATGACTGTGCTCTCTGTACGTGGGGCTCATGGCCTAAGCGCGAGGTCATCTGGGGCCCCAGAAATGGCACTTTTCAATGACCACAACTCATAGATATCTAAGTAGAGACTTCTTTCAACTTATCTGATCTTAAATACATGTCCAAAAATAAAGCAGGCCTCATGTACAGAGGATACGGATCACGATGCACTGGGTGCGAGTTGGACTCCTGGTCCTGATGCTATTTGGTGTATGTCAACCCGAACTCTCTCTCTCTCTCTCCACATGTCCCGTCTCTCTCAAGCTGTCATATCAATTAAAGTCCAATAAGCCCCAAAAGTAACCTTAAAAAAAACATAATTTATATGTTATACTTTCACAGTGGGTACATTTGGAAATATTTTATTGAACTTGCAAGTTTGTGTTTCAATACAATTCAATTCAATTATTTTCTTTTTATTTTAAGTTCAAAGATGTGTTTCCTCCTTTTTATCCTTTAAAATAAAAGTGTCAGACCGAAAACACTGGTAGAGAGAAGAGTGTCCAGCCAGACTTTGACCGAGTATGTAGTAAAATATTTACTTTAGACTGACTTGAGTTTAAATAGATATGCTATTTATAGATACGTTTTTCGAGACTTGTCTTTTGTGTGCATCCTTACATCATAGCTGTCCTTGGCCACACAGCACGTTGCCTCTGAGGTGATATTCTTCGGGACCAACATCGTCTTCATGGTCCCGAGAGGTGTTGGGTACGCTCTGGAGAAGCAGCAGCCCATGCACTGATAGAGGGGACGAGTAGAGGAGAAAACATTGTTCCTCCTAAGCGTGCACTCCTCACAGCCCACTGAAGAAGAGATCACACAAGTATTACATTTAGAATCAGATAGTACCCATCATGGACAGCTTGGGATGCAGAGTCAGTATGATCAAATCTTACTGTTTGATAGGTCATTGTTGGGGTAAGAATCAGCTACGTAAAGAAGGAAAGACATCAGAAGTAGACAGAGTCCGGAGGATTTCACTGAACCCATCATAGTTGAAGCAGTCACCTGATAACGCAGAGACAAAGAGATAACCGTCAATCAAACATCCGTCGAATCATAATCATGCAGCAAGATAGAGATAGAGAATGTTACCATGTTCAGAAAATGTTTTCTGTCTTCTCTTTCTCTGTGCAGGGTGGCTTTTTACTGATGAATTCTGCTTCCCTGCCGGTGGATTTTATACCTCGTGTGCTGCAGGCAGACTGTGACCCCTTCCTGGAGTAAGTGAAACCTATCAACCTTATCAACGATCTCACTGACTCACTGGCCACTTTGCAACCTTTCCCGTAATCCCTTCAAAGCACAAAACAGTAAGAACAAACGGTGGAAACATACTTCAATCATCCTTCCATCCTGACTATGGATGCTGCTTTAATCCCTGGATTTCTGTTACTTAGTAACTGGAGGTTATTGTTATTATTATTATTTGTCATGTCACAGCAAAGAGAGGGTCAATAGGTTATTTTTCACATTGTGATTAAGTAGCCGCTGGCCGCAAGTTGATGATCCCTGTTCTACATGGTGCCTTTACAAATAAAATGCAATTAAGTTAACAAAAAATCTAGTATTGATCCCTTGATATTTTATTTCTTGACTGTTTCCCCTCAGACAAAACAATCAAACTGTTCTGTTCTATGGTTACATTTCATATTTTGGACTTTTTTGTTCTGTGGGAAAGTTGTGATGGTTCCTTTTATTTTGAAATATCAATAGGTTTAAATCATTAAATTAAACAAAAGAAACACCACTTTTCATAATGAAATACATTATAAATAAATGCAGTTAAATGTTGGATACTGTACATATTTTTATCAAGTCTTATAACACTTTTTAACACTTTTTTTTTAATTCATCATGCCTTTGAGTTCTTTACTGGGATGCTGTGATTTGTCATGTTAGCTTTATAAACAACATATTTCTTAAACAAACATAATTTTTTACAGTAAATCGGACTCTACATTATTACAAAATCAAAACACGTAATTGGGGTTTATTCTCTTAACCCGTATTTCGACATAAAAGCTAACTGTACATTAAGGCATCATTGGCTGAATCGATGGAAGAAGTTATCAATAAATGCAGACATGTTTGATAGTTGTCATCTGTCCGCCCACAAACAGCCCAAATGTCAAGGATGAATATGAATGCAGTTTGTACTTCGTCTGCCTGTTTACTTAAGCCCACGTCCTGTGTCCTTGGTTGTGCTGGTGATAAATCCTCGGCCTAAGACTTGAAATTCAACCCTGTGGATGAATAGATTTTAAAACAACGGAATATTTAAAGCCTTTTTTTATGCTTTTAATACATTTTTACTTCTCAAAACGTTGGCATTGTAAACCATACAAGTAGTGCTAATCATGGCTCCTGGATTGTGTGCTATTATTTAGGCTATGAAACATGTAATTTATTGACATAAGACAAAATGTCCTCTGATGGTAATATTGAGTAAACTGGCTTAATTATGCTTTTTCAAAACAACATTTAAAGTATCAAAACATGATCGCAAATATGAATTGTTTAAAGTGATTATCAACCATCAAACTAAACTTGTATTTTTCTTTATTCTCTTCCTGTTTTTTCTCCTCATATTGTTTGATATCTGCTCCAATTTTATCTCATCACTCATCATCTAGCACTTCCGTTGTGATTTGACATTTTGCAATGTCAAATCACACATTTTGTCCTTGCAACTGTTCTGGGTTCAGAGCATCTACATTTGGTTCATCAGGCTGTATCCAAACTCTCCCCTATTATCTCCTTTCAATCTCTATCTTATCAATAAATGCATAAAATGGCTCAAATAGTATCTTTAAAAAAGGATAAGAAGTTTTATCACACCTCATAAGACCTCATGCTTATTTGGTTGTGATTTGTAAATAAGATCAGCTGTGGCTTTTTGCAGCAGTGACTAAAATAACTGATTGAAACCATTATAGAGCTGAATGATGAGTGATGAGTGAGTTAGAGAGTGATGCTGAGTTTCAGATGTTGTGAGATGTTGAACTACGGAAGTAAAGAAAGCCCCAGGTCTGGAGTAAACTGTGTAGTCTACATGGTCATGCTTGAAGAAACACGAGTCAGATATGTTGTCAGGGGGCTCTGCTGGGTAAACATTGTCCCTGTTTCTGTAGCGGAGAGAGCACAGGCGACACAGTGAAGCTGAGCGGCTCTGTTGGCTGAAGGCCAAGCTGCTCTACGTGGATAACTTCAATTCTAAAATCACAAATGTTATTGATTCCATTGCTCCCATTAAGGTGAAGGTTGTCTCTGGTAAGAAAAAATCTCCATGGAGAAATTCGACACTGGTAAGAAACGGAAAAAGAGATTGTCCAAAAGCTGAACGCAGGTGGCGTAAAACTAATCTCCAGATTCATTACAACCTACATAGAAACTTCACGTTTATAATTCACAACTGAGGAATGCAAGGCAATCTTTCTTCTCTAACATCATCACCAGAAACAATAATAATGATTGTGCCCTGTTTGCTACTGTGGACAGGCTAACAAACCCTCCTGTGTCAATAGCATCTGAATTTCATTCTACCAGGGCCTGTAATACATTTTCCACCTTCTTCCAGAAAATTAGACAAACTGTCAGTAACTCAACATCAGGAGCAGGATATGTGCTGTGTCCATTTAAAACCAACTTAAGCACCATGACACAATTTAATCAAATCAACCTTAAAAACCTGGAGGACATTATACAACAAATAAATTCCTCCTCCTGCTGTTGATATTCTGCAAACAGGTTTTAAAAAAAAGTTTCCCCAAGTCATGGCTCCAGATGTTAGAATTGTAAACGTGTCTCTTCTCTCAGGTGTCTTCCCACAGGCCCTGAAGACAGCAGTCATCAAGCCACTATTAAAAAAGAACAATCTAGACAAGTCAATAATGAACAATTACAGGCCTATATCAAATCTTGCTTTTTTAAGTAAAATAATAGAAAAAGCTGTTTTTCAACAGTTAAATAACTTCTTGACATTGAGCGACTGTTTCGATGTCTTCCAGTCAGGTTTTAGACAAAATCACAGCACTGAGACAGCTCTGGTTAAAGTGTTTAATGACATCCGTTTAAACACAGACAGTGGCAGAACCTCAGTCTTAGTTTTACTTGATCTCAGTGCTGCGTTTGACACAGTTGACCACAATATATTACTCGACCGACTGGAAAACTTGGTGGGAGTTTCTGGCACAACTTTAAACTGGTTTGAATCTTACTTAAAGGACAGGGACTTCTTCGTGTCTATAGGTGACTTCAAATCTGAGCAAACAGAAATTACTTGTGGAGTTCCCTAAGGTTCCATCCTGGGGCCTCTTCTGTTTAACGTCTACATGCTCCCACTAGCTCAGATTATAAAAAACAATAAAATAAGTTGTCATAACTACGCAGACAACACACAAATGTATATTACAATGTTGCCAGGCGACCACGGTCTCATAAAAGCACTGGGTAAATGCATAGAACAAATCAATGATTGGATGTGCAAAGATTTTCTCCAGCTAAACAAAGACAAAACTGAGGTTGTTGTTTTTGGAGCAAAGGAGGAGCGATTAAGAGTCAGCACGCAGCTTCAGTCAGTAAGACTGAAAACCACAGACCAGGAAAGAAATCTCAATTCTGAAAGCCACATTAAGACAATTACAGAACCAGCCTACTATCACCTGAACAACATATCAAGAATCAGAGGACTTAGAAAAACTTGGAGGACCAGCAGGACTTGGATAAACTTGTCCATACTTTTATCTTCAGTCGTCTTGATTACTGTAACAATGTATTTACAAGTCTGCCTCAAAAAAATCAGTCAGACAAATGCAACTGATCCAGAATGCTGCTCCTAGAGTCCTCACCAAGACCAAGAAAATGGATCACATCAGCCCAGTTCTGAGGTCTTCACACTGGCTCCCAGTCTGTCAGAGAATAGATTTTAAAATCCTGCTGCTGGTTTATAAAGCGCTGAATGGTTTAGGGCCAAAATACATTAGTGACCTCCTGATTACGAACTATCCAGGCCGCTCAGGTCGTCTGGGACAGGTCTGCTCTCTGTCCCCAGAGTCAGAACCAAACATGGAGAAGATGCGTTCAGTTTCTATGCTCCCTATATCTGGAACAAACTCCCAGAAAACTGCAGGTCTGCTGAAACTCTCAGCTCTTTTAAATTGAGGTTGAAGACACACCTGTTTACAGCTGCCTTTCATTAAACAATTTTAATACGATTTTAAACTTTAACTCTGCACTGTAACCTTAACTCTTTTCATATTTTTACTTTATTTATTTCCATTAATTTCATTTGAATTATTTTTATTTGAACAAATATTTAGATTTAATAATTTCAGTGATTTTTTAATTTTCTATTTTAATGTTTCTTTTCTTTCCTCTGTCATGATGCTTTTGTCTTGTGTGACGCACTTTGAACTGCCTTGTTGTTGAAATGTGCTATATAAATAAACTTGCCTTGCCTTGGTAAATTAAAGTGACCAGGTATGATTATTTGGCAGCTAGTTGTGGAAACAGCAGTGACGACGAATGACATACAGTTTGATATGAGGTATTAGGTTTATTATAGTAAAAGGTGCATTAAGAGGAAGTGAGAGATAAGATGATGATCTGTTAAAACATACATGTAGAGCAGTACAGAATAATGAAGTATTTAATGCGGTTTGATCTGGAATATTCAATGTAGAAGTTAAAGAATGTACAAATAAAAAGTTAAATTACAGTTTATATAACATAAATCAATATGAAATACAGTAGGTAGGATGGTAAACAATATGAATAATGAGGTATAGCATAAGAAGAGTGCGACTCGAATGACTGAATGAAACCCTTTATTGCCCCAAGCGAATTTGCCTTACTGTACACCATAAAAAAACAATACCAGTAACAAAACCTTCATTTTAAGCACATTAAAACAAAACCATTAAAAAAAATAGAATACGTCATTTTAAGCATCACATGATTACACGAGGGATTTCAGTAGCAAGTTCAATAAAGTGCAGAGGGTCAAGTCCATACTGTATGATCAGAGGTTATTAAGCAGCTAAATATTGCATGGTACACTACGTGGATGTTAATGATCAATGGACTTGAGCTTATAGTGCTTTTCTAGTCTGCTTACTACTCAAAGTAAGAACACTCACCACAGGTTACACTTACCCGTTCACACGGTAGAGGCTGATATGCAGAGAGTCCATCAGAAGTCACTAATTCCATTCATACATTCAAATGCCGCCCATGAGGCAGCGGGAGCAATTCGGGGGTTAAGGGTCTTGCCCAAGGACACATCGGACATGTGGCTGCAGGGGATCGAACCCTCGACCGGAACGACAACTCTACCAACTGAGCCACAGCCTTACGAAATGACTCCCTGACTCCCATGGCACATTGTGATCTAATAAAGACAAAAATGATTAGAACTCTTGGTCATCGTATTAAAGATTTTGAACAGCTGAACGTCTCAATGGGAGGACATTTGTGTATAAATTAAATTATATTGTAATTCGTTAATTTCTGCTTTAGAATAAATCCAAATCATTTCAAATGGATATAAAATGTGTTTTAGTTATTTAACATTGAAAAAATAAAAAATGAATATTCAAACACAGAGGGTGATAAACAGCGTGATGTCCACATGGCAGATCACCTTGCTTTGTTGCTGGGTACACAGCGGCACTCTCTCCACACGGTGGCATGAGAGCTCTCTAAATACAGGAACCGTTATGAGCCTCGTCTCACTCAGGAGTTCGCGGTGTTCACGTTACAGTGAGGGGAGGAAATGGAAGCAGGCGTTGTCTGACACAAACAAACAGATGGTTATTGATGAGAAGGTTATATTAGTGTCATTAAAGAAAAACAACACACCTCACATCAGTTCGAGAAGTATCCAATGTGTATAAAAGATGAAGTTGAAGGACTGAGAATCTCTTTATTTGTGTGTGTCGAAACCACCAATCAGACCTGAACACTTAAGTGTGCTGCTTTTTAACTAAGAATCCTAATAATCATTATCCCTTAACGTACATTTTTGGACATTTACAGTAGATCCTGGACAAACCAATAGAAACAGTTGTTCCATTCATGTCTTTTATAATAACAAAAAAAACACGCCCCACCACGAAAACAAAATCACCTGAAGGGCTAAATCTTTGTTCTTTTAAATCATAGTGAAATAGTTGTTCTTTTTCATTCTAGCAGTTCAAGATGCCAAATGACACACAGAGCTAACAGAGATTTTGCTATAACTGAATAATTTGGGACTTTTCTTTTCCCGTTTCATAGCATGCTGCATTTCAGTCTCAAGTCTCAATAGAAAAGTTTCTGAATCAGTTGTTAAATAATATTATAGGACATGATAATTAATGCAATATCAAATGTGCCAGTCATCTTTTTTTCTATTTCACTGTACTTTTTTCTGAAGCAATAAGTTCCAAACTTTAAGATCCCGTCAACATTCTTCTGTTTCTTTTTCTGAATCATTCAAAAACCCAATATCACTTCTCCTTGTAATCAACCCTCCTGGTACAACCAATAGACCTCATAGTTTCCAAAACAATGGAAATAAAAGTTCAAGAGTAGAAGATGCACAGAAAATAAATAAACAGTTAACTAAAGAAAAGAAAAAAAAAGTAGACCAAAAAGTGGAATCTGCCAGTCACCTTGAAGGTAAGAGGAGCCTTCAGGCATAAGCATTCAAACTTAATAAAGTACTTCCTTTAAATCAAAAGAGTTTTTATTGTTGGCTTTATCGCTAGAGAACAAAGACACAATGGACAAGGGATCTTTTTAGGCTGAACACATTTGTCTTAATTTCTGTCTCTGTGTAATATTTAAAACATTTACCTCTGATTTTGTCTTTCTTTATGACTACATTGCACTTTGCCCTTCACATTTATTTTTCAGAACTTTGTTGATTTGTCCATAGCCTACTTTTCCCTGATAAAACCTTCTTGTGACCCATCTTTGGTTCTTTCTCCAACATTTTTACAGCTCGAGACAGAGAGCTATAGGGAATCCACCTGTCACTCTACTCCTGAACAGCTGTGTAAGTAATTCCTCAAAATCTTCCAGCCATCGCAGTCCAGCCGCTCTGTAGGCTACCTGTGGAGGATTGTTGTAGCAGCTAAAGTTGAATGATTTCAGCCATGAGTGGGACATTAGGACCCATCATTCATCCAGCTGTGATGAGGATAGCAGATAAACCAATCTTAAACTCATATTCTGGTTTGTATGTCATGTTTTGCCTACTTTAAATCATATTATCTAGAATCAACTCAGGCACTTTTCAATAATAATTACAAAACAGCTTTTTTTCCCAAATGTGTCCAAATATTTGAACCCAGACATAGGAGTCTGTTATAATAATATTCTTCCAAAAATTGATGTTAGACTTTTTGGTAACTGGCTCAAAATGTAGAACAGCAAAATGTTCACGATTCAAGATTCCGTTTATTTATTTTCCACTTTATCTGCATGAATAAATGACGAAAATTGTGTTCCCCAGCCCCAAGCAGTGTGAAAGAAAGCAAACATGCAACACAGACATAGACTGACACAAAGACAAATGTTGAGGGCATTTCTACAAACATAGACACTACATCATCTGACTATGGTCAAGTTTGTAGTGCACAGGCATGATGACAAAGTCAACATTTCTTTCCTGTATGCTACTAATGTTGCAGAAAGAAAATTATAAAAAGGTTTTGAACTCTTTAGCAGTACAAACTATTCCAATAACCATTGTTTAACTTACTATGATTGGTCATCAAACAACAAACCTCTCTTGTTTTTTTTACACTCTCTCGATATATTCCTTTGTTCATGTGGCAGAGGAGTGTTAAATCTATGAAAATGGTGACACAGTGTGGTGAAAAGTGGGACCTACCTCACCTCTCCCAGTCAGGCACTCTGCAGAAATGGTGCATCGTACAAGTGTTAGTTTACTGTAGGCATGCAGTTTTTCATTAAAGAATATGTATATATGTACTTGCTGTTGATAATATTTGGTCCAAGACTAGACTAGTGACTTTTAAATTACTCTTATCTTATCATTGATGTTTGTTTCCGAGTCAATTAAAAGTTATGTCATGCATTTATCGTTTATAATTTCGTGATATTATTAACTTATATATTTTTTTTATAACCAAGGTTCAGCTCTAGGTTGTTATCCCAAAATGTTATGCCATGTGACTAAGTTCTAGTAATGTACCCATTTTTACTTACAATCATATCCGTCAAATGAACGGCCCTGTTGTCGTAAAAAAAAAAAAAAAATTACTCACTGTAGTAATTATGATGGATGCTGTGGTTGACCTGCTGCTCCTCTGTAAAATGCATACAAGGCAAGCCCGTGCGGGGCTGTCCAAGAAACCCCATCGACGAGACAAAACTCGAGGCGTGAACGTGGCAGCCATTTTACATCATCAAGAGTGAATGACTGAAGCCGGATCAGTGCCGGGAGTTTTACACTTTTTCTGTCTTTTAAATATCACATTTATCTTCCTAAATAATCCACAACATACGCGTTGGTGATCCAGCGGCAGGTAGGGCGAATGCTTGTGATTAGTCCATTTGATTGTTGCTTTAATTGCTTGCTTAAAAAAAAAAAAGTCTGAATCGTGCGGTGCTGTTTCAAACAATGTGGAAACTGGTGGTGGTGGTTGGGAACGAGTTCTCCAGACCGGCTTTTTGAAAATGGACTCTTCCTACATGGCGGCACGTTGTCAAACCACGCATCCAGCAGGCTAAACCTTTAGCTACTTGGGGCCTAGTAGACACATGTTAAAATATTTAAGCTACACTTCGTGAATGCTGAAGTCCACGCCGACAAGTGACGTTGTAACAATGGCCCCGCTGAAATTCCGTTCGAATTAGCATGCTAACTTAAGCTAGCCTATTTTGACAGATCATGGAATTGACATGCTCATTGTCATCGTGTGCTAACGGGAGCTAGCTGGCAAACGCCTGGTAAACTTGACGGGGGGGAAATAAAAACGTGCGATTCAACGTGGTTAGTTCAGCAGCGGACATGCTCGTTTGTCCTTCTGAGACACTTTAATACACACGCGTTTATAGAAGACGATGCTTTTTCTAGCGCGTCCTGTTATTGTCCAGAAGACGGGTCCCCTGCGCTAGCTTAATGTCTGTGCAGACTAGCCCGCTTAGCTAGCGAGCCTCAACGTGTGGCGAGCCAGTCCCCCGCTAAATGTTATCATTAACATCGATTTGAAATGGGGGGAAGAAAAAAAAAAAGTCTTGTGTTTTAGTTAATTTCACAAAGTCGAGATCACATTTAGATGTGGCCTTGCGGATTAGATAGTTTTAACTATTGCAGACGTGTTTTTAACCACAGAGACAACACGTGCTTTAACCGATATGAAAATGATTAGCGGGATAAAGGTTGTTTTATATCATTAACCGAGTCAACAGGAGGTCAAAAGAAAGAAGAGAAAAAAAAAGGTGTTGTTCACTTGCTGTTCAGATGAATAATGCTCGGGACAGTTAGGTCGATGCTCCTCGTAAGTTTTCACTCGGTCTGATCGTACACATGGAAAGTTATGGCTGTACGGGTCAGTAACGTGACAATTTGATTGTTTACCACTGTCACAATATCAGCCGCCAAAGTGACTGAAAACAAAATGCTAAATGCTGCATTCTTGCTCATGGGGTCAGAAAACGGAAACCGGGGATGACTCTCTTTTGGAACACGTGTATTGACTATGTAGCCTGTGCTGTGGTCAGCAGGGAGAAGGTAAGCTAACATGTAATTTAGAGACCCAAAGAAGACCAGACTTCTGCAACAGAAACTACCAACCGGGGCTGTGATACGGGAGCTAGCAATACTTGGCTCCGTTTGCACAAACTTCTAAGCTTAGAGCAAACCAGAAAGGAAAAACTGCCACATGGACACAAACCCTGTAGTTTCACGGTTTTTACGAGATGTCATCCAATTGATTTTCGTGGGGAATTTGGTATGTGCATTGTCTGTCTTGCGCACAGCACACTATTGAAACATTTGTCAAATGCCTATACACAGGTTTCTTCGCTCCTATTTCATGCAAGCCAAGAGCTTCAAGTGACAGTCAGGATAGTGAAAAGTCTCCAGACGGCCCACACAACCATGGTTACTAATTAAGTACATGGTGAAGTTACAAAAATACAAGATATAATTAGATAATTTGTGCCTAATACAAAAATCACTGTTTCCAAGATCTTACAATGGTTAAATGTTTTTGACCTTACAAGTCTGAGACTTTGCACTCTCCTGAACACATGCCAAGTCTTGCCCTTGACCCAGGATTAATTTGGCTCATTGCATTTACACAGATTTCTGGAGACATGGCCACAGAACATATTAATGGAAATGGTCCAGAAGAACCAATGGACACCTCTGCTGCAGTTACCCATTCTGAGCACTTCCAGACTTTATTAGAAGCTGGTTTACCACAGAAAGTTGCTGAAAAACTAGATGAAATTTTCATAGCAGGTAAGGCACAATGACTATACTTGCATATTCAAATATGCAAATTTCTATGTTTTATCAATTTCTTGCATGTATTGTCATAATATCACCTTTTTGAATGGGGGAATTGGGATCCTGAAGCAACTTTTTGTGGTTTCCTACCAAAATGGGTACTGCAGTGCTACAAAATATAAAATTACACATTACAGGTGTGAAAATGTGTAAATGATTGCAGCATTTGCATTCCCGACATGGTTGCATGATCAATGGTGTCTGGGCAAATGAATTGTCCTCTCCCGGGGATGTGTATTGATGAGCCTGTCCAGTCTCTCCATATTTTCTTTGAAGTTTCTCTGCAACTCATAAAAGGGTTGCAGAGGGATGGAAAGGTTTGAGTATGATGTCAGTTACAGCTAAAGTGTCTCTTCTGTGGTCGGATATTTACCAGTTTGTATGGGGTGGGCTACAGTGCCAGAGCTTGGGGGTCATTTTAGGACTCATTTGGTCGGTAAGATCTAGAAAAGTACCAGTCTTGCATTTTCGGCCAGATGGGGCTGAGGCAGAAACAATGGCAGCAGCTGTCTGGTGTGCGCCTGCTTGGGACAGGTGATGGCCCCTCCATAGAACAGAGTGCAGACCGTCTCATTAGAAACTCCCAGCCACAGTATAGAGTGGCACTAGCATATCGAGTTGCACTGTCACATCTGTTGTGATTAGTTCTGCAAAAATGTGCTGGTTGGAGAGTTAAGTGCAGCCTGACTACTGAATACAGTTTCATCAGATTAGGAAGCTCCCGGTCTTTACTCCATAATTTTGAAATCATTATTTGTCTGTTTCGCAACCTAAAAGATTGGGTTTGAAACATTACTCGCATGCTTACTTACATCCTTTCAGATGTACTTTATATTTCTGTGCATCAACATCATTATGTTGGTTATGAAAACTTTGTCATTATTATCTGCTAATAACTCAAATTCTGTCTTTTTGTTGTCGTCCCTCCTCCAGGTTTGGTGTCACACAGTGACTTAGATGATCGAGCGATTGACGCCCTGAAAGAATTTCAGGTGGAAGGTGCTCTGCAAGTCCTTTTGCAATTTAAGGACAGTGACCTCTCACATGTTCAGGTATGATACGCCACTTTTCATTTCTGATGCCTTCATACCGAGTGGATGTATAGTGGGGTCTATACAGGCAGATACCTTACTACTAAGCATATAAGTTGTAAACTAGTTACACAGCAGCCCTGTACTACCACAGTAGTGTTCTTATCCACTGTACATCTACAAAGCTGAGCAAGGATAGACTATGAGTTCAATACAGCTGCACTCTGTGTTGTTGAAAAGGAAAACTTCGGGTGTTAAAGCACCTACAATGACTGCCAACATTTAAAGAAAAAGATTGGTCAATGTATAACTTAATTCATCCATACACGTTTTTGAGATCTGATCAGGAATTCCTGCACATGACTTGTCCCTTTTTTTTTCTTCCCAGAACAAAAGTGCCTTTCTTTGTGGCGTGATGAAGACGTTCAGACAGAGAGAGAAACAAGGGACCAAAGTGTCAGACACCAGTAAAGGACCAGATGAAGCCAAAATTAAAGTGAGAACTTGTCCTTTGTTCAAAAAAGTGATTGTATCTTAATAAATGAAAAAGAAAGACGTGTATGAGTATTGTTATATAGATGCTGTTTGTATAATCCATCATTGTTAAACCATAACCATCTTTCTCTTTTTTTTCTGGTCAGGCTTTGTTGGAGAGAACTGGCTACACACTTGATGTGACAACTGGTCAGAGGAAGTATGGAGGTCCACCTCCAGAGTCCGCCCACTCAGGGGCTCAGCCCACCATTGGTACAGAGGTACAAAACTAGTTGCCTTTTTAGCATTCATTACACACAGAGATGCAAGAATAATTAACTTTCAATAGTTCTTATTGCAAGTGCATTCATGTTTCACATGGGGTCCAAATGATGACACTTTTTTATCCTCTGTAGTAACTATGGTTACACTGATAGTTTACCGCTAAGAGCTGACTGGATTCCTCTTAAACTGGATGCCATTTATCCCATGTTTCTATCTTAATCATCGAATTATAAAGTTGAACTCATGCACCACATTTCTCTTTCTTCTCTGCCTGACAGATATTCGTAGGCAAAATCCCCAGAGACCTTTTTGAGGATGAGCTGGTTCCACTGTTTGAGAAAGCTGGACCCATCTGGGACCTCCGCCTGATGATGGATCCTCTCAGTGGCCTGAACAGAGGCTACGCCTTTGTCACTTTCTGCACTAAAGACGCTGCACAGCAGGCTGTCAAATTGGTACGCTTAGTCTCCTGCAAATCATAGCAGAAAGAGTGCGGGTGTGTTGGGTAGCGGGACTTAGTTGAGAAAACAAACTTACCTAATACAGCCCATGTCAGGATATTTAACATGAACAGATAAAATAAACATGTATGCTAATTGTGAAAAAGAAAACCCAACAAGTTGCCAAAGACTTTCCTTTGATGCCTTTTTTTCTTCTTCTCTTACTTACACTACCCTCCGTCCTTTTGCAGTGCAACAACAATGAAATTCGACCAGGTAAACACATTGGCGTATGCATCTCTGTGGCCAATAATAGACTGTTTGTTGGCTCCATCCCCAAGAGTAAAACAAAAGAGCAGATTGTTGAAGAATTTGCAAAAGTCACAGGTGAGTCTGCAACATCCTTTAACCCCTCCTTAAACAAATGACACGTGGTTGTAGCATGGTTAGTAAAGATGTGTTCGAAGCATCTCCTGTTTGTGTCCAAATGATGACCTCATTACTATGCTGGAGTGACTCACGTTGCTATGATGGTTTACCGCTAAGATCTGACTGGACACTAAACTCAGTAAATTATGTTTTAAATTAAGGAATTATAACTAGGCAGATTTTTTTCAATTTGTTTTATAAATGGTCGTTTTCCTTCATGCAGATTGGATGTCATTTGTCTGTTGGTATGTCGTCGATGTAATAGTGAAATGTATCTAGTTAACCACCTGCTGCCTCTTCCTCTCCCCTTGTTCTTCTCGACAGAGGGTCTAAATGATGTCATATTGTACCATCAGCCTGACGACAAGAAGAAGAATCGGGGCTTCTGCTTCCTGGAGTACGAAGACCACAAGACAGCAGCTCAGGCCCGCCGTCGGCTCATGAGCGGCAAGGTCAAGGTGTGGGGAAACGTTGTCACTGTGGAGTGGGCTGATCCCATTGAGGACCCTGACCCAGAGGTTATGGCCAAGGTAAGATACAAGCACAAGTGTCTTCAATAGAATGTTGTTACACGCATATGTGACATCAAACTGTTTCCTGCAGTTGTTTGCTAACTTTTCTGAAGAGGAAAAAAAAAAAACCTCTTAACTTTGTGTTTCCATTACCAGGTCAAGGTGCTGTTTGTGAGGAACTTAGCGAGCACTGTCACAGAGGAGATTCTTGAAAAGGCCTTCAGTCAGTTTGGGAAGCTGGAGCGGGTGAAAAAATTGAAAGACTATGCCTTCATCCACTTTGAGGAAAGAGATGGTGCTGTGAAGGTATGGATGGGGGAAAAAAGACTTGAAGGACATGCATCACATTTATAAAACACAAAAACGGAAGTTTGTCTGATTGTTACTGACCTAATCAATTTTCCAGGCTTTGGCCGATCTCAATGGCAAAGACCTCGAGGGAGAGCACATTGAAATTGTCTTTGCCAAGCCCCCTGACCAGAAGCGGAAAGAGCGCAAAGCCCAGAGACAAGCCGCTAAAACACAAATGTAAGAGAGAAGCACAATCAATCAAATTAAAAAATGTTTACCTGAAGCAAAACAACATTCTTATGTGGAATCTGTGAATCTTCCTACAGGTATGATGAATACTACTATTATGGGCCTCCCCACATGCCACCACCAACGAGAGGCCGTGGCCGAGGAGGGCGAGGAGGTTATTCTTACCCCCCTGACTACTATGGCTATGAAGATTATTATGATTATTACGGATACGACTACCACAACTACCGGGGAGGCTACGATGACCCATACTACGGATATGACGACTACCAGGGGTCCGGCAGGGGCCGAGGAGGGAGGGGAGGAGTCCGTGGCAATGCCAGTCAGACCAGGGGCCGTGGTGCTATCACACCAAGGGGCCGGCTGGGCTTCACCCAGCGAGGAGGCCCTGGAACAAGCAGAGGTAAATATATGTTGTTTCTTTTTCTTAGTTTAAAAGGGGGGAACATCTGATTAGTTGAACTGTGGTGACTAAAAAATCTGTGGTTCATTTTTTTGTTGGTTAGGCTCTGCTCCAAAATTGAGTGTTGAATTAAGCATATTCTCTGTCAGTGGGTCAAAGCACAAAATCAGATGAAGGAGGTATTAAAGCGTAGAAAAATTAAAACGACTGTAGTTCGGGAAAACTGAAGTTAAGGATGAACTACAGAGCAGGTAAGGATTGTCTTGAATTGGTGTTGGTAATGATTATAAGGCTGCATCTACAAAAAAAAGTTCCACCTGCTTATTGGCTTCATATCTTATCCTTGACAGGTGTCATCTGTCAGAGCAGCTTGTTTGCCAGCAGACAAAGGTCATTCACAACATATATTTTTAGGAGGCTAGATGAGTACCACCCTCATGGCAAAATACTGTATTCAATCAAAATTTCAATGGAATCTTATTAAGCTGTAATTACTGTGATTGATGGGAGGTGGTGGGTGTCTGTTGGATTGTCTTTTTCTGAACTAATAGTATCTAATCTCTTATTGGTCCAGCAGGGAAACGGGGCAGAGGGCGGTCCTGACCTGTCACAGTGGATACTGACTTGATGTGTGGGGTTACACCGTAAGCTGCAATGGATGTTAAAAGAAAAAAAAAGAGCGCGACAAAAAGGTCCAATGATATTCCAGCCTTACAGAAGAAGCATCCCCTCCCCGCCCCATTTCTGTTGTATTTTCTTTTCTGCCACCTTAAAAAAATGATGGAGGGTTTTAAATCCCCATAGACTATTTGCCCAGATCCCCTGTACCCAGTACTGATAAACAGAGCTGTGTATTGCCCTTACAATCTCCCCCTTCCCTGTCCCTGAACATGCCATTTTTAAATAATTATTGAAGAATTTGCACTTTTTAAGTTTTTAGGTTTGAAGTGGCTCAAAGGAGCTTGATGCTATTGTATATTTTTGTGCTAATCGCAATTTTTATTGTCGGAATATCCATGTCCAATCTTAATCGTATGATCTGGATGTTTGACAGAGAACATTTGCAGGTTTTTAGGGTGTACCCACCTGGCATGGATAAGTCAGGCATTCCAGGAAAGTGGTTCTTTTCAGAACTTGTCTTTAAAGGGTTGGTTGACTACCTCAGTACAGAGGACTAAACTACCCGGCCTGTACTGTAAATAGGGAAACTATATTGATGAAAGCAGGGCTTGTTTTCAAACAAAATATGCACAAGAGCTGTAGCGCAAAAACGATGTACTTAATGTAATATAGTCATTTTAGCTGCAGCTCTGACACTGCAAACAGTCAAACTGGGCATGCAAAACAATCTCATGAGATGAGTCTGAACAAGCCCTGCTTTTATCCTATTTTGAACTGAATTAGCCGCCTTGCTTCTTCAGAGTATGTAGTTACTGGTTGTATAGTTTTTCGGATAAAATGTTACTTTTGTAAAGGCTTCAACATCACAGGCATCCAACTGCCTTTGATTAAAAAAAAAAAAAGTAAAAACAAAAATAAAGCCCTGCAGTGTCCCTTTTGTGCCACTATAAAATTCAAGTGGATTGTTTTTATATTGAAACAACATATTTTCCAACAACAGAATAATGTAAAACAACCTTATTCAACATCATCTGAAATCATGTCAGTCTTGAATGATCCCTTCTCAGCTGTGAAGACCACGACTATGTAGAAGATCTTTTGAATTAATCTTGATGGATGACTGAATTGCCATAATGCCCAACCAGTGAGCATGTGTGCCTAACGAGAGCTGCCATGATATGCTGAGGGATCATAGACATAGTGGTAGAAGGGATACTGCAGTGAATAATTTCTATTTCCCGGTATAGCATAAAGGAAACTGCTCTTCAATCCCAGTTTTCTATACAGTTAACTCCCTCAATAAAATCATAACAACCACCTTTTGAAAAAAAAGATGTTAGCAGTTTTAAACTATTGTTGGTGGCCAACAACGTTTTTTGCATTCCTGCAAATAAATTGTTTTATACTGTAAAATGGAGGTGAGTGTAACTTATTTTTGTAATAAAGTTTTTGATTTCTATCTGTGTCTTACTCTTTGGATAAAATATTGATGGTATACAAATTGGCCTGTGTTTGATTTAGTTTGACATGTATTCCTTTGGATGCCTCATTTTACAGTGATTTTTAATTTCTCTTCCTGTTCAGTGAAGAAATTAAAGTTCACTGTTGAACAGCAGGTCATTACAGATGATGGGCCTTTTTTAAAAAAAAAAAAACAAGCTTATTTCTTCCTAGAATTCCCATATTCCCAGCACCATTAAAAATATTTTAAATATGAATTACCGGTAGGTCTATGCAAGAACATGCCGAAGACATCTCTACATAAAAAACGCTTTAAATGAATAAAAGCAGCAGTCTGTGTTCTTACTGTTCACCATAATGACTGGATGTGAGACCACCAGAACTCAAATGAATACTGCTGTTCATCCTTTCCTGTTAATTTCAGACTTCGGAGAAAATGGTCTATTTACAGGATCTGAAAAGCCCAAGGGCAATGTAAGGCTGACCTAAATAACACAGTTGGACCTTTTAATATAAGATGTTTTGTCAGCAAGTTGTGTTTTAAAGCACTTAAATTTTCTGACTAATTTAAAGTATTAATGCTTTTAACGTAACAGAACATGGGATTATATAAAATTGTCCCTTATTTATTTGGCGGTGTTAAGTCCCATTTGAAGCGCTGGGCAGGGCGTGTTTATAGTGTGGTGTCTTCACTAGAAGGAATTTGGGAATGGAAACGTAATTCATTGAAAGTAATTTCTTAAATAACAAACCCGCTGTCTCTTCAGTTGTCATTTTGGACAGCATCAGGGTATCTGTTCATAATCTGCACGTAACCATAGCAACAACACGGTTGCAGCCTACCTGGTATCGAAACTAATTAATTGGCATTTGGCTAACTAGTGATTAATAGAAAATATTGGACATTATTTGGTTGCATAGTTTTTTCATTTTTCACGTTGAGTTGTTTACCACAATGGGATATTTGCCTTAATTCACTTTAACCACGTTTAATTCAGAAAATACAAATAACCTACTCCAAACTCGATCTCGTCTCGATACCTCGCCGTGTTTTTATTTCTTCTCCTACTGAAGTATGGACAGGAGGATCATATGTGCTCTCGGTTGTTTGTGAACGACAGTGGCCATTATGTTAAAGGCTGCTGTTTGGAGCCCAGCGGAGGTGACATCACGCGTCTCCAGCGCCGACGATCAGATGCCCCTCAATGGACCCGAAATGACAGCTAGCGCAGCGCAGCCATTAGCCTCGCAGTGTTTGAGTTTAAAGACAGTCTACATACAGATTACGCTGCGTAATTACCTCTAATTCTGCTGTGGTTTACAGCTGTGTACGGCACCTCGCCTCTCCTACGCTGACCTTAAAAACACGCAGCCTGCGTATTTTTTTTTTTTTTTTTGCAAAATCATGACGGTGTCGCTGCTGGACTACAGAGAAAATGGCCCATAACATACACCGTACATTTACAGTAAGTGCTGGAGCGCATTACTAAAATCAGTGCCACCTGCAATAATCTCTCTTGGCAATAAAAAGTATTTTTTTTTGTTGACGCTGTGGTGTGTGGTTGAAACACGCCTTTTCTGTATTTTCAGACTCCACTGACCTCAGAATCCATGGGTTTATCCTAATTTTACAATCAATATGTAAGAGACTACATGCAAATAGACTGCCAAAGCGACAAAAATGGGATGCATCACGACTTTCCTGCATAAAATAAGACGCAGGATGAAGCTAGAGCGTTTCAGAGAGCTGGGAAGACAATATCCAGTCTTCTGCTTTTTGCTGCTGGTACTGCTGCTCACCACTCTGCTTTTAAACAGGTAAATATACATTTTTAATACTTCATCATTTCTTAAAACATGACATCCCTAACATCCTCATTTGTTCCCTCTACATGCTTAAACATCATACTCTACTAATAACAGAACATTTCTTCTGTTTTGACAGATATATTCACATTATTATGGTGTTTTGGTCCTTCCTGGCTGGAGTCATCACTTTCTACTGCTCTTTGGGGCCTGAGTCTCTGCTGCCTAACATTTTTGTCTCCATCAAACCAAAGAATAAGGTAGATTAAAAAGCAATAATTAATGCCCACTGATAAAATTTAATTGCATGCTCTTCTGACTTTGTTCTTTTATAATAACCTTTTTTGGTGTGTCTCATGCTTTAGTCTACATTAAATGGTTTTGGTTAACATAATTTCCGGGGGGGGCTCGCATGATAGGACCATGTTAACTTAAATTGTTATTGGTGTTTAGTGTCTCCAAGCTCAAATAAGAAACTGTACATCACATATTGTTTCTTTGCTGTTAATGAATGAACAAACTGGTGTTTTAATGAAAGGATCGCTGGACATGATGTTTATCTTCGACATGTTCATTGTCTCTTGCAGACATACCAACAGGAGCTGTTTCCACTGGGCCACAGCTGTGCCGTCTGTGGGAAAATCAAATGCAAAAGGCACAGGTGAGATACCTGTTTCTGATGTGGTACTGTCTTGTCTTGTGTTATGATCATTTCAGTCAACTGTGGTTGTTGATAATAAATACACTCTATGTATAATTCTGCCTTCATTCTATGTGATCATATTCTTATTTGGTAATTCTGTCTTAATTCAACTCATTTGATTTGTCATAGCTGTCAGTATGCACAATAATACATTTGTTTATCAAGCTATGGATGATGTTACACTGCCCTCTTGTGTTCATGAAAGGTGTTTCTTTTCTATTTTTTCCAACATTAGACCGACTTTATTACTGGAAAATTATCAACCATGGCTCGACTTGAAGGTTCCTTCTAAGGTGGATGCTTCCCTTTCAGAGGTAATACATTAATTCATTAATTAATCGTGATTCAAGACATTTGAATGAAATTAATAGTTTACGTTTTCCCACCAAACTAATTTGTCTGATCTACTTGTCTTCAAGATTCTGGAGCTGGTTCTGGAAAATTTTGTATATCCCTGGTATAGGTATGCCATCTGTTCAACTTTTAGTGTATGTTATAATCAAGTTTAAATAGTATTTCATATGATTTATCTTGTGACGGTTGTGACTTTGTTCTGTTTGCTTCCAGAGACATCACAGATGATGAGGCGTTTGTCGATGAGCTGAGAGTGACTTTGCGCTTCTTTGCAGCCGTGTTGGTCCGCCGCACCCAGAAGGTACAAACTGCTGTATGAGCTAAATCTTTGAATTCTAATTGGCTGAACAGGATTTAGTTGTGATTTGCTTTTTTTTTTGTTTTGTTTTCTTAGGTGGACGTGGCATTGCTCATCACACAGAAGCTTCTCAAAGTTTCCATGAAGCACATTGAAATAATTAGCAAAGCGAGACAGAGAGGTATTGCTGATCTGCATAATCCACCAAGTCTGTTCTTTGTTTTCACGTGAAAAAGAAAGTGAGGAGAACACCGCTCTATTATTCCCCCTCCGTAGTTAAGAACAGCGAGTTTCTTCAACAAGCTGCTCTGGAGGAATACGGTCCTGACCTCCATGTGGCCCTTCGCAGTCGCCGAGATGAGCTCCTCTACCTCAGGAAGCTGACTGAGATGCTCTTCCCCTACATCCTACCACCCAAGGCTACAGACTGCAGGTAACCCAGGACTCTCCACAGCCTCAGTGTACATTACTGTCCTCAAGTCTGACAGCACTGACGCTAGCAACAAGTAGACAAGGATCCTTCTTTACGCTTTCAATTTCTTATTTCCTGCTGCCTTATCTCCTCACTCCTTCCAGATCTCTTACTCTCCTCATTAGAGAGGTCTTGGCTGGCTCTGTCTTCCTTCCTTCATTGGACTACTTGGCTGATCCTGTGAGTGTAGACACATTTTCAGCCATTTTGTTCCTAAAGCTAAACCTATTTAAACTTGAGCCATTCTACAGATGCTTGTCAGTCAACAGTTATACTGGATTTAGGTTATTTAGGTCAGTTTTGTGGTCTAACTAACTTTTTCTTTTCTTTTATCTTAGGACACAGTGAATCATTTACTTTTGTTATTCATAGACAACTCCCCTGTAAGTATACTGTGACCTGATATTCATAGGCAGTTCCATGTACAGTCTGAATGTGAGCATATAGCTGCAGAGGATGCGTTGGATAAACACGTTCTTCTTAACGATGTCTGTCCCTGCAGCCTGAAGCAGCCACAGAGCCCTCGTCAACGTTGGTTCCTTTCCTGCAGAAGTACTCTGATACCCGCAGCAAGAAGCCCTCTGTAAGTGTTTCATCTGATTCAGAGTGTAAGAACCACTTCCCCTGCAAACCACCAGATACTGCATTCAATTATCTTTTGTGTTATCACAACATGCAGATTTTTTTTTTTGCATAATACATCAGGTCTTAAGGAGCATACCAGGAAGTAAGAAGATCTTATCTTTGTTTACAGACAACTTCTGTCGTCTCACTTTTAATCAGGTGCTGAAGCTGGAGTTGAAGGAAATCCGAGAGCAACAAGACCTCCTCTTCCGTTTCATGAACTTCCTGAAGCAAGAAGGAGCTGTCCATGTGCTCCAGTTCTGCCTCGCAGTTGGTAGGCATGTCATAAACCTGTAAAATGTTTAGATATCTCAGCTGTCAGTCAGGGTTATATTTTTGTTCCGTTAATATGTAAATGAGTTGCTTATCTTGTGGCCCACAGTCACTGGAGCAAAAAGACCATTTTAAGTTTCTACATTTTAAAAATGTAAATTTTCTTAAAATAAGTTTGGCTACTTCGGTAAAGTAATAATCCTGCTTTGGTTGAACTTTGACTCCGTTTCAGAAGTATTCAGGAGAAATTGCTTAGCTACACAGAGGAAATCAGTCAGAAATGAATCAGGAAAACTCACTAAAGACTGTACATAAACCTGACTTTCATATTCCAATGAGACTGAAATTTCTGAATGTATTTTTTTAGAGGAGTTCAATGACAGGATTCTCTGTCCGGAGCTATCTGACTCAGAGAAGGTATTGCTTCATGGGGAGGTGAAGAAGATCTATGAGAGCTACTGTTTGGAT